GCTCATAGAATGTGACCTTTCCCCAAACCAAAGGGGATTCTCCTGCCTCAGTAATGATATCCATCTCCTGTCCCTAGAAATCTTTCATGGTCACCAGTGTCACCAATGAGTGAGTTAAGCTACTTGGTGAGTGTCTGAAGCCCTCCACATGAGACCTTATCCTACCCTTCCTGTCTCAACCTCCACTGCTTGTTCTTGCTGGGCAATAAAATTAATCCCACTACCCACACCTAGCCTTTGCAGTCAGTCTTTGTTCAAGCTGCTCTGGTAAGAAAGCCCTCCAAGCCTCCCTTTCCATTTCTATAGGAATCAAATCTTAGCCATCTGCCAAGGCCCTCCCTGCTCAGTGGCCACCACCTCCTCAATCACCCCCAAGTTCTTCTTTCACAATTCCATTGCTCTGCTTCACCTCCTCCCTTGCTGGAGGCGGCCCATCATATCAGATACCAGCTCTGAAACAAGAACGCAAAGTTTCAGCTCCAACCCCCTTACTGCTAGGTATGTGACTTTCTCTCTGCCTCAGTGTCCACACCTGCAAAATGGAGATAATAACAGTATTTAATCACAGTATTAATGAAAGGACTGTAAGATCTATAAAGCTCCTACTTTAGGCTCTGGCACACAGTAATACAGTACTGAACTTAAAAAAATTAAAAACCCTCTAACTATTATAGCAATGTCTGTCCCTCCACCATTCATTACTTCATTTATCTGTCCAATCTTGTGTCACCATTTTCTATTTTTTTTAAAGATTTATTTATTTTGTGCATACAGAACTGGGGTACAGGCCAGAGACTCAGGGGTGGCAAATGACTTCACCAAAGACAGAGTGGGGAGCAGAACAGGCAGATCAACGAAGTACACTGCTGAGGGGAGCAGTGGGTGGGTCAGGAGAGGTCTGCCACACCATGTGGTCACCTCCGGGGCAAGCGGGAATCGAACTCATGCAGAAGTGGTTTCAGCTTCTTAGTGCAGTGCTTTAACCCACTGCGCCACCAGGGAGGGCACATTTTCTATTTTTTATCTGATTTTGTTACCTGTCTAAGCTCCCTTACTACAGTAAACATCGTGGTAAATGCTTAGCTTAGTGTATATATAGTCACTATGCAATCACTGAATCATACTTAGAGTCTCCCCATGGAAAACCTACATTTAAAATCCAAAGATTCAGAAGAGGTAAAAGAACTTTTTACCTATAGCAATAGTTCTCAAAGTGTGACCTGGACCAGCAGCATCAGCACCACTCGGGAACTCGTTAAAAATAGAGGACACTAGCCCCATGCCAGATCTACTGAATTAGAAACTCTCAGAGTAGGCGCCAGCCTTTAAATCCAGCTTTAACGGCCTTCCAGGTGACTCCAATGACCTTGATTCACGGGGTCTGGGAAGTCAGAAGAAACACCACGACACACAAAGAGCACTGGGTCAGGCATGGATTCTAGGCTTAATTCTGGCATTGACCCTGTACAAGTCTTTTAACCTCTCAGAGCCTCAGCTTCTTTGTAAGCAGTAAAGAGCCGATACCAGTCAGATAATTAAATGTTAGAAGGATTAAATGAGATCCCATGTACAAAGTTTGTATATAGTAGATGCTTAATAAGTTCCATTCCTTTCTCATCCTTGCAAGGTTGTGAAGGTTGCAAATCAAATGACTAAAGCAAAAGATCTTTGAGAATTGCCAACTGCCAAAGCAATTTGAGGGATGACTAATCATTCTTGCCATAAACAAGCTGAAGTCAAACACCTAGCACTGGCCAGGCACTAGGAAGCAGTTTGTGTCCAAAACCCTCCAATCCACAAACACAAACTCTGCAATAGAATATCCACTTCAAAAAAAAGAAAAGAAAAGAAAAGAATATGCACTTCATACAAGTTTATTTTAATAAACGTTAGCAGAACTGTGAAGAAACTAGATGGTCCTCCTTGTTTGCACCCACATTCTAGTCAATTTTAATTAACCACCTCCGATTTCTATCTAAATGAACTTAAACTTTACTCTTGGAAAGGATTATCTGAAAACATTTTCTACCGACATTTACAGCACTATGGGAAACTTGGGAAACTCCAGAAGTATGACATCCCGCTCCCAACACTCTGTGAATGGGTGAGATTAAGACAGCACATTTGGGAACTAGTTTCAGAAGATAAAATCAGGAAATAAAATTAATTATTTCTACCTCCATGCTTTTTAACCTCTCCCATTACTGCTAGCTCCTCTGAACCACACACACTATTTAGGAACCACCTTCCAGAAAGACAGGCAAGATCAAGGCAAGAAATACACCGGCAATTTTCCTATTGTAAAGATGATGGACTTTGTTGCTGGCCCAAGATGAGCAGACTATGGGTTCAACCAAACAGCATCAGGTTAGAATGTCCAAGTGAGGCCCAGGCACGAGACAGAATAATTGCTCCACCAGCTCCTCAAACTTGTGCTTTTCAATCCAGGACACTTTTGGTGAGCATGTTACCTCTCCTGCAGGCTCTCTGAGAGCAGCTTTTTAATATCTGTATCCAGAACCTGGCACCCAACAGGCACTCAAAGTGCCTACTGAATGGTACTGATGGAGTTATGTAGGTACAAGCCACAGCAGCTGTTGGAAGGTAGTCTTTTATGAGTGAGGAAAATGAGTTCCAGGGACATTTAAAGTTGAAGACTATTGTCTTTGATGTCACCTGTACAGAACAGGGGTTGGCTCCAAATTTACTTGCTCCCATTCCCCAAACCACTTCTGTTCTACTCAGACTCAGACTCATAGGTGTGCCCAGACTCCACTCCCTGCCTCATTTACCTGTCCCTAGGCACAGGGTGCCCTTTCTTCTCTGTGGCATTCCCACCCATCCTCATGATGAGCTGTTAGATTCAAAGCCAGTTCCATCATCCCAGATCTCTTGAATTCTTCCTGACTCCTAACAGCACTTAAAACCCACCTTTCCCAACCGAGCACTTAATTACCAACTGGTCTGTTGTTAGTCACTGTTGTTCCATGGATCTCTTGGCTTTCTCTTCTGACACTATAAATCCCTTGAGGAAAAGGAAATCCCAGCTCTCTCTCTTCTAACTGAACCTCAGTTTCCCTATCTCTAGAGTGAAACTTACTTTACAGAGCAGCTTTAAGGAGCAGATAATGGTGGTATAATTGCTTTGTGTAAGCTAAAGCTGCTGCTTTTAGTTGTTAGTTGTTAGTTTTGTTCTTATTTTATTTCTGTATCCCCATTCCTCCCACCAACCCCCTGGAACATACTCTTTAAAAAATACCAAATGTCATGAAAATAATTTTTATCTTTTGTTTCAGTAGTACATTAGAACCTCATTCTGTTCTCTAATTATTTCTCTGAACTGAACTGTGAAATTCCTAGGGCTCGCCTGCTGACGAATTGCAATGAGGCTTCATTCTCTTTATGGTCAAGTGTCTTTTAGAAGGAATGGTGAATGCTGGGGTCTGGAAGCTTTTGATTATGAAGACTTCACACAAAAAAAGTCAACAAAAACTATAAAACTATTTTCCTTTGCTGGTTGAAGATCGGCCAGTTGTCCCACAAAACCTCTCAAGACAGAAAATTCAACCCTACCTTAATTACTCTGCTATTCACAGTGACAACCACAACTTATGGAGCCTCTACTCTATTGGAAGCACTATGCATCCATCATCTCAATTAATCCACACTACTCTGTGAGTATGAACCTCTCTTTTCTCTAGCTAAGGCTCAGGAAGGTTACACAATGTTGGCATCACAAATGAATGGGCAGGTAAAATTCAACTCAGTTCTTTCTGAAAGAAACATCATGCTCTTTCCACTTTGCTACATACCACTATATCACTTATATTTGTACAATTTAAATCCCCTTTAACTTGTACCTCTCATCAACTACCTTGCCATTTCAAAGATGTAGAACTTCCTATTGTAAGGACACAGAAAAGGGAAAAACAACCTCCCCCTGAGTTTATAAGAATCCAGTAACTGGCTGGCATTCAACACCCAACTGGAAAATGAGTTTTTGGAATATGGCTGCAGTGAAAGAGCAACTGAGGGAAGGAAATGAGGAAGAAGAAATGGGGGTGGTTATCTAGAGAGTCAGTAAAGGCGAGAAACAGCTATTCCAGGCCCTTATCAAAGACCCCAAATGACAAAGATAGACTCTCAACTGTCAGCTAACTAATAGGAGAGGCACAATTTAACAGTCCCTACTAAAGGCTGAAAAGTAAGCTGGAAATTCACAGTAAAGAGGGAAATAAATAACTATTGCCTAACCAGCCTGGCCCATAAGGACACAAAACACCCCTGCCCGTGAAAGATGTTTTACCAGTCCTTCCACCAACAGGAGGAACCAGAAACTAACCAACATTCTCAACTGATCACTCGGCAGAAGGTTAAAAGGCAAGTTGTGTGTGTGTGTGTGTGTTTGGTAAGAAAGTTCCATATGGTGGCCACTCTGGTCTTCCTTCACATTCCCTTGTGCTTTCCTTACCCAGACACAGGTCATCTCTGGTGCCCTATTCCAGGTGCCCAGTGCCCACTCTCTCTGTAACCAGGAGATTTTAGGCTTGCAACTCTTAACACAGCAAGGAAGCACCATGTTCAAAGACTACCACAAGGAAAATCAAATTTTAGAACTTGAAGGAACCTATCACATCTGATCTCCAAAAGTGTAATCTGTTAGGTAACTTCAAAGTAGAAAAGGGCAGTGACTTGCATAAGGTCACAGGGAAAGTAACTAGCAAAGCTCCTAGTGGAATTCAGGCTTCTTGATTCCCCTTGCAAGGTTCTTATCATTAATTAAGACAGCCTTCCTTCTCTCCCCAGAAGCAGAGCAGGCAAGCCATCCCCCTGCCAAGATAACCATCCTTTATGGACCCCTCCCCCATCCCAGTCCCTCCTACAGCCCAGCACAGTTGCAGCTCTAATTAGCAAGTCTTAGTGCAGGGAGCATTCCCTGGGAGGGTGCCCAGTCTGCGTGCTGCTGGTACTGAGAAGGCGGGACAAGGATGGAGGAAGAAGGGTCTGGGAGAACTGCATACTGGAGGCGGTGGCAGCGAGACAGGTTGGATACAGGCGCACGCAATGGCATCTCCCAGTAAGCAAGACGGTAAGCCGACCAGCAGCTGGCACCACCTCTAGGAGTCAGGAAGAGCTGGGCCCTAATGGGTAAGGACCAGAGGAGCATCTCCCGGTCCATACTGGGCCTCGGGGCGCCACAAGACAGGGTGGTGCCGGCGTCGGCGAGCAGGCCCTGCCCGCCCATGGGGCAACACCAGCGCTCGGGCAGAGAGACCAGACGACAAGGATGCCCGGTGTGCCCGGTGCCCGTGGCACCGGTACCGGGCAGAGGCCCACGATCCTCACCAGCCTGCCAGCCGCCGCCGCCCATCCCTTCGCGCGGTCTTACCTAGACACTGCCCCACCGGGGTGCTGAAAGGGTTCCCCAGGAGGAACTCCATCTTGGGCGGACAACACTGCAGAGGTCCCCGCCCCCTGTCAGTCGCCCGGGTCTCCGCTCTCCGCCGTAGCGATCCCGACCTGACTGACACTTGCCCCCGCCCCACCCTCAGGAACGCCGAACGCCCGGCCCCTGACCCCACCCCCTACGGCGTCCTTATTGGACTGCGCCTGCCCAACCCTCTTCCGATTGGCCCGTACACCTCCCTCAGCGAAACCCCCACCTACCCCGCGGCGTCCGATTGGGCGGAGGAGCCAGCTAGGTCACAGGAATCTCCGTCAGGCGTAGTGGCCCCTCCTTTGGCCCGCCTTCGAACGAGTCTGTGCATTTTGATTCATCTTTATGTTGGTCAATCTGGTGAATTCTTACTATTATTGGGCAAAAGACAAGTCAATCAAATCACAAAGGAGGCGGGAAAGAGAAAGGGCACGGAGAGTCCCCGCCCAAAAAAGGGCTGATTGGAGAAACATTTGTTTTCTCTACCGCTGGTTGGTGGTAGTTTTTCCCCGCCTAGCAATGTGATCACGTGGTGCATCAACTTTCACACAGGATGTCTACCTCAGGACTTCCCCTTAGCAACGGAGTGGCGGCGCTTGGTTTCCCTAGCTACCGGCCAAGGCGTCCGCTGCGTGGAACCGGCACGGAAGAGCTCGCCTGAGAAGGTGAGATCCGGGAGTTGGGAGGACTCGCTGAGTGGACAACGTTCTGACTTAACGCTTTCCTCTGATTTAGTCCCTCCCAATTCTGCTCATCTGTAAAATGAGCACATAGGTTCGCCACTTTTCAACCGCTCTGGGACCTTCAAAATTCTAGTCCTGGACTTTCAGGCTTTCGGATAAGAAAGCCCGAAGAGATTTTTAAGGGGTTTCATCCCTTATCCTCCTGGCCTGATTCCTTTAAAGGAAAGAAAGATACCTGGTCCACTTCAAAATTTTAACCCTTATAATTCACCTCTTTACTGACATTAAATTATTTCTCTTCTTACTTTCATTGTTCATCTCTTATTATTTGATCGTCCTCAAAATATAACGTGCTTTGGAGGGATCTATGGATATCAGAGTTCAGTGTCTGTCTCTTTTCAGCAGCTCGTGGTAAGATCCCTCCCAAGTCTCAAGTTTCCCTCTCCTTAACACCCCCCTTCTCTAATGGCTTCCAGAGCTGACATGCAATTAAATAATGCACATGCACTTAGTACATAGTAGGCACTGATAAATGGTTGCTTTCTTTTATGATGCATAACCAATAGGGCTACATTTTTGAGATCCAATTGCTCATAATTGCTATTTCCCAGGACAATTCTAAATCTGTTTCTCAGGAGTTTTCTCTCTGCTGCTTCCTCTGCCCTTTGGTTTTCACCAACAACACTATCATCAGACAAGTCAACAGAACCTAGGTTGGGTGGTAAACTGCTGATAAAATTCACTTTTCGCTTAGGAAGTGTTGGGGTATTGACCCTTATCCAGAATGGCTGTGAGAAACATTATGGGCTGTGACAATGATAGTCCACAGTGCCCAGGGTCCATTTGAGTGATGATCAAGAAAATGGGTTCCGGATTCCTGTTCTTCTGCCTCTGTGTAGATGTGTCAACTTGCACATATTACTTAACCTTTCTAACCAATTTTCATTTTCTTATCTGAAAATGTCCCAGTGACTGTGTCATGTGTCCACTCCTTGTGCCCCCAGAGGAGGTATAGCCTGCCCTCTCACATAACCCCGCATGCCTTCTCGACCTAGGCCCTCCAACTCCCCACTCTCCCCAACCTCTTGAAAAACAGAAGATGATTATTCCTATAAGCTGCATCCAAGTGGATGGTGGGGGAGGAGGGACAAAGGACACATAGGCAGTGGCAGTCAATAAGGCGAGGTGACAGGATCACCAGGCATACCTTGGTTTATGGTAGATACTGTTAGCCCAATACTCATGGATTAAAAAGCAGAGCACAAGGGTTCTTGGGTCCCAGCAAAGAATCCTAGCATCAGGAATTAGCAAGGCAGGGAGGACTAGAGGTTCAAGAAGAAACATGCAGACAAAGGTAGAAGGTGAAACTGTTAGGGTGGTGAGAAATAGGAGTAGAAAGAAACAAGGACAACTGAGTTCTGGAGGATTTGGGAGGCAGAATCTAGGAGTTTCTAGTAGAGCATATCTTCTTGCAGAGTCCAGCCCATCTGGACATCTCACCAAGAGGGCTGGTAAGGATTCCTGGCTTCCCAAGGCTGGGGCTACATCCAGTCAGGCTCATAGTGCAACTGGGCCAAATCCACAGACCTCAGCTCAGTGGGTCATAATTATGGTTGTGGGACCAAAGGGTGCACCCCTGTGAAGGGAAGAGGTGGTTGCCAGGGAAGCCCAGGAACAACCCTAGGTCTAATCGGTCAAGGGATGGGATGGGGGAAGCCTTCAGAGTGTCTGTGGCTACCACAGTGTTCTATGATGTCTTAAAAGGGTACCAGGCAGAACATGTCCTCAGACAAAGGGAGAACCAGGGTATAGGTGAGAAATACGGTGTTTTTCAGGGAAGATGAACCAGCCATGCAACTCGTTGGAGCTGAGAGTGATGGACGAGGACATGCTCAAGCAGGCGGTGGGGGAGCAGGGCCCACAGGAAGAGGCTGGGCAGCTGGCCAAGCAGGAGGGCATCCTCTTCAAGGACGTCCTTTCCCTGCGGCTGGACTTCCAGTGTACGTATCTTGGGGTGGGTCAGGGCAGCTTCCAGGACCCCTGAATTTCTCCAGTCCACCTTCCAGCCCCAGAATTCCACACAAGGACCCACATCGGCATTAGGGCCTGCCTGGTTCAGAAGGGGGTAGGAGCAGCTTGCACCATTTGCAGGCTTAATATTGTCATTAGCATTTGAAGATCCACAATACTTATAATTCTGAATAAGAATATAAGGTGAAATTTTCCCACTCCAAATCCAAGTGAATCCCAAAGGCCATGCTGTAGACTGCACATGGGTTCCTTGGAGTGGGGCCCTTAGCCTAGGAGGGTGGTTTCTAGAAGCCCTGGGGAGGAAGAGGGCATGAGGGTAGGGGTAGAGGGTGGTAAAGAGCTTCAGAGAAGGAGCTGGGAACAGAAGGGGCACAAGGCTGTGAGGAAGAGTCGTTACGTCAGAAGTGAGAGGATTTGAAAGGGAAGATGTGGGTTCAGGTCGAGCCAGATCTTCGCTCCCTTAGTTACCCCAGCTGTGAATTGAGATGATGGTAGTCTCTGTTTCAAGCAATGATTTGGAGGACAAGGTGAGACAACACATTCATGCTTCCTGGTTCACTGAAGAAGACTCCTAAGTTGAGGCAGAGCAGTGGGGGAAAGGAAGTGAGAAAGGAGGGTGGGGGTCCTGCAACCCCCCATATAGTGCACAGGTGGACCACCCCAGTGACTTGGTCTGTTCACATCCTTGCTCTGTCCTGGGTCCTGACACTGACCTGCTGAATTGTCCAATCAACAGGGAATTATTGACACCCACCTCAGCTCACCCTGCCAGTCCCTGGGGACACAAGGGTGAGGGGGCAGTGATGACGGTGGTGGCAACAACAGCAGATTCTATGTCTGTATTAAAGGACTAAGTTGGCTTTCGGGACAGTCCTGTCACACTAGTAACTCACTTAGCGCTGTCAAATACCTCCTGCTTGATTGGAGTGGCTTTTCCATGTAAACTGCTGATGCTGAGAAAAAGCAGCACACAGGTGTGCAGTCAGTGCTCCCAGGAAGAGTGCTGACCACTGCCCTCCCAGACATCAGAGAGACTCATTGTCAGTGCTCAGCCCACAGTCCCAAGGTACCCACACATTTTCCGGCAAGACAGCAAATTGTGGGCCTCTTTTGTGATTAACCTTAGTCTAATGAGAGTCCCCTTACACAAGTATTCAACTCTAACCCTAACCTAATGCAAGAACAAGCCAGGGCATCTTATTTGATCATTTTAGGCATCCTCCATATAGACAACCTCTGGCAGTTTGAGAACTTGAGGAAGCTGCAGCTGGACAATAACTTCATTGAGAGGATCGAAGGCTTGGAGAAACTCACACACCTGGTCTGGCTAGGTAAGTCTCCTTTCTGGGTCTGTTCACCCTCATGAGAGGGTGTCCTACTATGGCTATGCTCCCTGCAGGCGGTACTCAGCTGCCAGCATGATCCTGGACAGCAGAGTCCCCTTAACAAATGATGCTGGAAAAACTGGACAGCCACATGTAAAAGAATGAAGTTGGATCACTCTCTAACTCCATGCACAAAAAGAAATTCAAAATGGATTAAAGACTTAGATATAAGACTTGCAATGGAGGGTCACCCTGGTGGTTCAGGGTTAAAAACACAGCACTCTCAAGCTATCAAGTTCCACCCCCAGCAGCTTATTTCCATCCCCGGAGGCCAAGGAGCTGACCCACTTGGTGAGGTAGACCTTTCCTGTCTCACCTGCCGTTTCCCTCAGCAGTGGATTTCAGTAGATCTGCCAGTTCTGCTCCCCACTCTTTCTGGTGAATCTTCTCACCCCTGCTCCCATGCCTCTGGCTTATACCCAGTTCTTCTATGCATAAATAAATACATCTTTAAAAATAAATAAAAAGACTTGCCATGGAGACTCAGCTCCCACATCAAGGGAAATAAAAGCAAAAACAATTGGGATTGCCTCCAATTAAAAACCTTTGACATAGCAAAAGAAAGTGGAAGTCAATTAAAAAGACATGCTACTGAATAGGAAAAACGTTCACATCTAACCGATAAGGTGTTAATATTTGAGATAAACTAAAAATATATTCCATTTCATAAGAACAACAATGAAAAAAACCTAATTAGCAAAAAGGCAGCAGAGCTGAACAGACAATTCACCAAAGAGGATATCCAGAAGGCCAATCAATATATGGGCAAACATTCATCATCACTTTTAATCAGGGAAGTGCAGGTTCAAGCCATGACAAGCTATTGTCTCACACTCATGAGAATGGCCCATACTAAAAAGACTGCCCACTCTAATTGCTGGGGAGGATGCAGAGAAGCAGGAACTCTATTACCCTGTTGGTAGGAATGTACCTGGCCCAGCCATGTTGGAAAGTGAACTGGATTTGCCTTCAAATAGAAATACCATATGGCCCAGCAGTGCTACTCTTAGATTTATCTATCCAAAGAACAGGAAACCATCAACCCCCAAATTATATGCATTGCAGTGTTGATTACAGCATTATTTATAAAAACTAGGACATGGAAACAACTTACGTGCCTCCTGAGAGAGGACTGGATCAAGATGTGCTCTAGCCACAGAAAGGAACACTATCAGCCTGAGGAAAGAGGAGATGTTGCCATTTACAGCAAAATGGAGGGAGTTTGAGGGAATTGTGTGAAGTAATGCACGTCAGAATGACAGAGACAAATGGCGAATGTTTTCATAGCAGACAGCAAAGGTAAACACTTACGAAAACTAGCAACCACTGATAAATGAAGTGAGGCTGAGGCTTCTGAGTTAAGGATGGGGGAGGGAAAGCCAACAGTGTTTCAGGGATGGTGGAGGGGGAAGAAAATGAAAAGAAAAAGAAGATAAAAGAAAATGCTTTTAAAACTCTTAAAATTTCTAAAATAAGTAAGTTTCATGGGAATGGAAATGGGGCAGAGAAGCATGGCAGGAAGAGGGAGCCGCTTGTGTAAAGTTTGGGAACAGGCACAACTGACGGCCTTGACTGGGCTATTTTAGCCAGTAAAGAGTACTGAAATCAGTGCCAAGGACTTGTGAGCTTTCAAAGGCAGACAAGAAGAAGGTCAGAGAGAGACTCCCTGGTGGAGCAGGGGTTAAAGACACAGCGCTATCAAGCTACTGCCAGCCACTACAGCACGAGTTCAATCCCCCACCAGGGAGCTGACCCAGTGTAGCACAGCAGACCTCTCCTGACTTGCCAGCTGCTCCCCTCCCTCAGCAGACTATTTCAGTAGATCCACCTGTTCTGCTCCCCACTCTGTCTCTGGTGAATCCTCTCAGCCCCCACATCTCTAGCCTATACCCCCGTTCTTATATACATAAGCCAATAAATCTTAAAAAAAAAAAAAAAAAGTCAGAGACAGAAGTCAGCCTTTGTCCAGCTACCACTCTAGTCCCTAGTCATCCAACCATAACCAGGAGGGGCTGGGTCCTTGGGATGCAGAGGTGAGGGTGGGGAGGAAAGTCTCTCCAACAGTGCAGCCCAGCCCCCCACCAATGTGCCACGCCCTGCAGATGGCCCACCAGTCAGCCACCCCAGGACTGAGGGCATGCTGGTGCTGGCTAGCACTGCTCATGCTCACTCAGAAGCTAATCGCACACATCTCCCACCTGTGCATTCATGCGGTCATGTGAAACAGGCCTGCTGGGAGCCTTTATGCCACAGAAATCAGCAAAGACTACAAATCTGGGCTTCTCATCTCCCCACCCCTGTTGTCAGACATTCACAGGCACATTGCTAAGTTCTAGTGGCTTAGAGCTGGGCTTCCAAAGAACAGAGCCTAGCAGCATGATGGGAAAGGAAGTAGGCAGTCTTGGTGTTTAACAAACCCTAGCTTAAATCCCAGCTCTGTCAATGTATAAAGCAGTTTTGTACAAGTTCCATAAGGTAATGCACTTCACAGGCCAACACAGAGAAAAGGACAATAAGTTATCATTTGTCTCAAGTCTCAAAAGATGAGTATCCCCTGATACACCAAACAACCTAAATTAAGATGCGGATAAACTGACTTTCCAAATCACCTTTTAAATGTGATCACTTGTGGTGATCATGATCATATTAACAGGTTCATGAAAATTTCCCAGTTTGGACTATAGTTGTTACAGGGCAGTTTTGCTGTTCCAACCCCATCCAACCTCCAAAAGCATTTTTATTTTCAAAGATATGAAGATGGACTGGAAACGATCTTAACATCCTTCAGGATGTTGACTGGAGGGAGCCTGGGTCAGCTGTAACACAGCTGGAAGAATCCAACTTGTCCTCCGCCAAGGAAGAAGTCCCACTAAACTCTGGCAGCACTGTGGTCAGCTTGTGGCTATGAGCTTGTAGCACTGAGCTTTCCAGAACTTCAACTTGATAAGCTGGTAAATTGCTAAGCTGCTGGGAGGTATTATAATGAAAACACCTATACATGTTTCTGCAATCATGTCCCCACCCAAAGATGTACTGCTAGTAAGCATTTCTGTCCCACATCAATGACATAACAAGGGCCGGAATTTCACCCACGTGTCTCCAGCTTGGAAGATGAGTGACAGAACTGGGAATTGTTGTGAAAATTTGAAACCACAGGGAATCCACACCAGCTCCACACCCTGACCTTAAGCTGTCAGAGTCAGTGCACACCCGACCCAACAACTCGGTGCTGGTTCACAGAGCATTAAGTAACCTGATGGGCTCGTTTCAGGACCGGCAAGCCCTCCTTTGTCACCAGACTTTCACAGTCCTCTTGCCTTCTAGACCTGTCCTTCAACAACATCGAAGTCATCGAGGGATTGGACACATTGGTCAACCTGGAGGACCTGAGTTTGTTCAACAACCGGATCTCCAAGATCGACTCTCTAGATGCCCTCGTCAAGCTGCAGATGTTGTCCCTGGGCAACAATGACATTGGAAACATGATGAATGTGAGGGCTTGTGGAATGGGAATACCCAGGGCTGGTGCTGAGATGGGATGGGGTGGGGGGGAGGGGCATGGAGACGTTGTCTATGGCAACGGGAGAGGCAGGTGTACTTCTAGATCATCCCCCTTTCCCTGAAAAGCCAGAAATCCAGATATTCCCTAAGAGACCTGATGATGTTTAAATACCATCCTTAAGCCATCAAAAGCCCACCTGTGGGTACCAAGTTGCATCTCTGGGTTGGTGGGATCTTTCCTTCTCTGATCCCCACACTCATTTAACATTTGCTATGTCAAGTTCCTATTGGATTTGGCACATCTATCCCGTACTCAATCAGTACAGAGAGCCTTATGGGGAACTTAACAAAGCTACATACATACATGGTCAAGCTTAAGGTGGTGAGAAGCCAGTATCCAGTACCTGCCATGAGGTGCCAGGGGTATGTATCTATGAGGAGACCAAGTTACTGGTCATTTAGGGAAGGGCAGGCTGCTCCCTGCATACCCCCACAATTGTTCACAACAGCAAGCTGGGACTGTGTCCCCAGTAGCTAGGGGCATGGTAACATCCAGAAGGGGCCTGTTTGACACAGGTAACATTACCAGACAGAGCCTGTGGCAGGGCCATGGCTGCGACCTGCTTTTCCAGCCTGCCTGCCTGCCCCGGGAGTTTCCTGTCAAAATTCCTCTTCTGCTTAGGTCAGTCAGATAGCCTGGATCCAGTTTCTAGCCGCACACCCTGAGGCTTGAACTTGTTCTGCCTCAGTTTCCTTACCTGTAAAACAAAGGTAATAGCTATAACCTACCTACCTACCAGCAATTCTGAGAGTTAATGGGTGAAAGTCCCATGTAGGGCTGGAGTACATTCTTAACGAAGGGGGAGCTCTGTCACATCTGAGACCCTGAGAGTGTGAGGAGAGGTGACTTTTGATTCAGACTCATTGAAAGATTATTAGTTTTGCCATCCACTTCCCAGGAGGCAGGAACTGAGTGAGCAAAGAAAGGCCTTGGGTGTGCTTGGTGTGCTACCTGGGCACTGTGGTGGAGCCGAGGCACTAGAAGAGGCTGGGTGTGATGCAGGGCAGCATTGGGGTGGCTGGCCAGAGCAGAGGGGAACCCTGGGGGCCGTCATACTGCAGTGTGTCCAGGGCAGGTCTGCAGTTTGGAAGGAAACTGAAGATGGTGGTGGGGATGGGTGAAATGATCAGAAAGGGCTTTTCCTACAGAACAGGAAAGTGTACCCCCAGGGGTGCTGAAAGCAGAGATGAGAATTTGGGTGGTGTGCTAGGGAAAGGACCTCAAGAAGCTGAAAAAACTGACATGTCAGTATGTCACTGGAATGGTTGTTGTGAGTGATGTGGGGCTTGTTCCCAGAGGACCCTCGGAGTGTCCAGAATGCCTTCCTGGATTTTTGGCTGGAGCCTGAGCATTTGTGTCCCAGTTCTGTCTCTCCACAGATAAGGGACACTCCAGGGAAATTAACTCCCTCCCACCTTGCTTCTGGACGGAGGGGTGGGGAGCTTAGAGAGCCAAGTTAGAGAACAGGGACATGACAGACACTTCACTGAGTCCTCACAGCTGGGCTGAAGCCAGAGGTAAGCTGAGCCCCTCTACAAACAATGGGGACATTTAGTGGCGTGGTTACTGGTGCTCTGAGGAGACACGGGCTTGTCAGGGCTTCAGGGACATCGGTCAGTTCTGCCTCAGGGCTCTGCCACCCTCAGCGTCTCCCTGGACTGATGTTCCTCATGGCTGGAGTCAAGCCATCAGAGTCACAGGCTTCCTTGTCTGTAGCAGGACAAGGAGCTTGAGCGATCTCCCCCCCACAATGAACCTCTAGTTTGATCAAGAGCTGCACCCCACTTCATACCATTTTCAGAGATGAATGGATGGTCAGACTGGTTGACTTGTGTGAGTAGCTTGGCGTGGACCAAGCACTCACTCCCTAGTTGCTTTAAGACTGCAGCAGCGTCAGAACCCAGGGGCTGTGTCATCTCCAAGTTTGCCTTCCACACCAGACAGGACAGGAGGATCCAAACCCTACCAGAGCTTTTCAGGGCTGAAATCCTGATTGCTCAACCTGTCCTTTGTGGGGCCCAGACCACCAAATGCTGGCCAACAGGTCCGCATAGAGGACTCAAGATAAGCCAAGTCAGGAGCTGAGCTTTAACCAGCTACCAGTCTGATGTTGGGGCAGTGACTTAACATTCTGGGCCCATCTGTAAACTGAGAATAACAATAGTTACTATGAGGATTGAATCCACTAGGAGATAGTGGCTAATTCAGGACCTAGCACATGGCCTGGCACATAGTAGGTACATGGAAGGTGATTTTTTTATTATTTTTTTAAGATTTAGCTATTTGTGCATGCAGAACTACAGGCCAGAGGTGCAGGGGCGGTGATTCACCAGAGACAGAGTGGTGAGCAGAACAGACAGATTGACGAAAGTAGACTGCTGAGGGGACCAGCGGGCAGGTCAGGAGAGGTCTGCTGCATCATGTGGGTCACCTCCAGGGCAGGGATCGAACTCATGCTGAAGTAACTTTAGCTTCTTAGTGCTGTACGTTAACCCGCTGCGCCACCAGGGAGGGCCCTATTTAGGAACTTTTAGTTAAGGGTAAAACCTAAACAGCCCAAAACTTTCAGTTTGAAACATTTCTGAGCATTTAGAGCTGTCCCTGCCTAAGTGAATCCATTCTTCCTGGCCTGCATGTGAAATAGCTCTCTTCTGACTTGCTATCGTTGGACATTTGGAGATTTTAATGGCCCTCCGGCCCTGTCCTTATAAAAGTCCAAGTGTATGGGCATAGAGGTGGACAGTGACTTCCAGTCCCTGCTGAGGACACCCTACACTCCCTGCCCTGGTCTCCTATCCCATCCCTTTGCACACTGGGCCTAAAGGAATGTTATTCCCCTTTCCCACTGGGGAGCTGGGTGGTGCCTTGTAAGGAGAAGCAGGCAAAGCTGTCCCCAGAGGGAACTGAGAAGATGCCACATGGGAGAAGCTGCCAGGGAGTGCTGAAGTATCTGAATGCAGGTTCTGTTATTCCCAGGCCTGGTCGTATCCCAGAGACCCTGGGGCCCCTGGACCCTCTTTTCCTTATCAGATCCCCTCAATGATTTCATCCAGAATATCCTGACTTAATAACCAGCAAAGCCAGAGCGTCTTTGATTTTAGCCCTTATCTCCACTGTGAATCTGACATCTAATTATATTCTTTCCTGTTATTTATTTACTAGGTTTATTTTAGTACCTGTTTATCGCATTAAAAGCAAACAGATGTTTCAGCAAAAGAGCTCCTCTTATTCCTAGCCTTGGTCCCTGCCTCCCCTACCAGAGACCACAGCTATTTCTAAGTGACATGTGTGTTTTTCCAGCTCTCTTATGGAAATGTTTTGAGTGATTGTCATGTCTGCCCAGCTACGCTCCAAGCACCTGCCTTCAGTAGACCCTCCTCCTCCGTAGTCATCGCACCCCCATCTGCTGGACCGTGCCGTTGTTAGATGCAGCGTGATCAATCCTGCCAGTGCTCCACGTGAAGGCTGAGGTTTTTTTCCAACTTCAAGCCATTGCACATAGACTGTTAGTGAATGTCCTTGAACAGGGCTTGCTCTGTCCCTGGGTAGGTGCATCTGTAAGATAAATTCCTAAAGGTGGAACTGCTGGGTCTGAGGGCATGTGCATTTTTTATTCTGATGGATCTTGCCAAATTGCCATCTGTAGGAACTATTTACAAAGCCGGCAGCTCTTCTGAAAAGGCCTGGTTCCTCTCACCTTCCAGAACACATGGTGTGGTCAAACCCTTCTCTCATTAACAGTCTGAAAGATGAAACACGGAATCTTTTTATAAGCTCTCTTAAAAATTAAATCAGATCCTGTCTTCCTGCCCTACATACATTTAAGCTCCAGTGGCTTCCATTTTCCTTAGAACAAACTCCTGACCACGACCAGGAGGTCTTATGTGAGTCAGCAGCTGATCTTGTCTCTCGTCTCACCCCATGCCCTCCCCTCCCCTCCTCCCTGACCATGCTGCAGTGACCCTGGCCTTGCTTAGTTCCTGGAACTCACCATTTTCTTTCCTGCCTCAGGGCCTCTGCTCTTGTTTCTGGAAATGTGCTCTCCTGCTCTTCCATGGCTTCTGACTCCCCTAAGACTTCCCTCATGACCCATCTTTATATTCTTAGAGCTGTTACTCCAAATGGTAATGGTTTTATTTACTTTAAGAAAATGTTCCTGTCTGCAGCCCTGAGAATGTAGGCGCATCCGCTGAGGGTGGGAGCCAGGCACATTTGGTTCCCACTATATCCCCAGGCCCAGCGTGGGCCTGCTGCCCGGCTGGTACTTAATGTTCATTGAAAAAATTAACAAATATCTGAAAGAAATCCCTTCAGAAAAGTTTTCTAGGTATCTTTAGTCTCTTTAGCATAGTATAGGGTTTAAGTATTCAGAAATACTGTCAGATGAGATAATAGCTCTCTACATTTTTCTACATTTTACTAAAATATAGAATATAGGAAGAGTAATAGGATATAGGAAGAGTACAATGCTTCACTAGCTGTCACCCAGTTAATCCAAGGTTAATTACAAATTAGGTTCCACTTACTTTAAGAGATTTAGGGGGCTCCCTGGTGGGCTAGCGGTTAAGTCTCAGCTTTACCACTGCAACAGACCTATTACAATGGCCTGAGTTCAGTCCCCCGCCAGGGAACTGACCCACATAGTGCAGCAGACCTCTCCTGTCTCACCTACAGCTCCCCTCAGCAGTGTATCTGCCTGTGCTGCTCCCCACTCTGTCTCTGGTGAAGCCTCTCAACCCCTCTACTTCTGGCCTATACCCCATTCTTGTACACAAAATAAACTCTTTTAAAAAAAAACTTAAAAAAAAGAAAACTAATAATTTAATAGATTTATACTTTTCACAGGACTTGACAATTGAAGAAGGCATACCTATCTTCACTGACAATAATAATAATTAGCACCATTTACTGACTAGAGAGAGGCGCGCTACTAAATACTTCTCATAACTTAATTCACTTGGTTCTTACAAAACCTAATGACACCCATAGGATCCTTATACCCGTGTTACAAGTGAGGAGATAGAGGCCCACAGATGTTGGGTAACTTGCCCAAGGTCTCAAAGCTAGCATTTGAACTCAGGCCTACTCTGATTTTTTGGAAAGTTTGTGACTGAATGAAGGCCTCAGTGCAGCTGTGAACCGGGGATCCCCCATTCCTTCCCCACTGCAGCTCCACCCAGTGCTGAGGGTGCTGTGGCCAAGCTGCACACTCCAGCAGGGTGCCATGGACAGAGGATCCCCCAGCTATTTTCAGCTTTGGGCAACCAAGAAAACAGGTCTCTAGGGCCCTCCCTGGAGCCTCAGCAGGTTGGAGCCCAGCGCTACAAAGCTGGCTGCAGCCGCTTCAGTGCAAGTTCGATCCCCACCCTGGATGTGACCCACAGGGCATGGCAGACCTCTCCTGACCCGCCCACTGCTCCCCTCAGCAGTGTACTTCGTCAGTCGGCCTGATCTGCTCCCCACTGTGTCCCTGGTGAATCTTCTCACCGCCCCTGCACCTCTGGCCTATACCCCAGTTCTGTATGCACAAATAAATAAATCTTTTTTTAAAAAAATGTCCCTTTCCTCAGATCATCTACCTGAGACGGTTCAAGAACCTGCGGACACTCAGACTCTCCGGGAACCCCATCGCTGAGGAGGAGGAGTACAAGTTGTTCATCTGTGCCTACCTGCCTGACCTTGTCTACCTGGACTTCCGGCGCATCGATGAGCACACGGCAAGTGTCTCCCTCTGTTTTCCCAGCTCTGTGAGACAGTCTGCAGGAGGCCTGAGGTGTTGCAGAAAGGGGCACTGAAGTGTCCACCTGAGGAGGAGAGAAAGCACGACTCCCCCCCCACACTCCTGGTCACTGCCTGTCAGAACCCTTCCAGCAGAACCTTGTGGTAAATGTTCATTGCTCCTTTCTGTTTAGGCCCTTGCAAGTGTTGCCTCCTGGTCACCTGCTCTGTCTGGATTTCCAGATGAAGACACTGAGTAGCACAAATGAGAATGCCCAGGGGCTCAAGGCAAAGCCAGAATCCCTCTACTCTCTGACACCCTGGGAGCAATTACAGTTGACAGTTGACTGTTGTTGTGATGTATCTGTGCCTGGCATGCACGTGGCATCATTGTTTTCACCACAACCTGTGAGGCAAACCCTTCTCTTGTCCGCAGCTTGTCCCACCCAGGATGCCACGGCCGGGAGGGGTCGAGCTAGGAGTCGGACCCTGGTAGTCCGGAAGCAGAGCCTGTACCTTCAGCCTCTGCATTGTTCACCCTGGCAAGAAGGACCCTTCCTTGGCCACTACCTGGTGTGTCCTCAGCCCACCTCTGTCCAGGGCTGGTCTGGCCACCTCCCGCCTCTGTCCACTGCCCCTGCCATGAGTTGTTCCCCTTTCATTTTTGCAGTTGGACCAGTTTATGGGTACTTTCCACACTGGGGGAAAAAAGAGACCAAGTTCTGAGATCTTTGGTGGCAGGAAGGGAAATTCCCTCGTGCTGACTGTCAGGGAGTTTGACTTGCCCTCACCCGGAAGCTAGCACCTCTCTGGAAGAAAGGCGCCTGTATTTGGGGTACACTGAGGTGAGGTAGGGAGCACTGAGAGAGCTCAGCAAGAGCAGAGAGAAGCCTGGCTCAAGGTTGACCCTGGATGACTAGAGCCTCCCCTCACAGGCACCCTCTTGGGAGGCCCCCTCAATGGTGTGTGGTAGAAGAGTCATGGCCTCCTCTGGCCATGGCCTTCTCTTGTCCCATGATGGTGCATCTGAGATTTTGAATTCTAAGATTCTTAAGTCTTGTTTTTTTCCAGTTAGAAAATAATTAGAAAGGCAGCATGGGCTCACTTGCTTGGAATAGACCAAGAGCCTATTATCTGAACAAGAGAGGGTTTGTTTTCCTCACTATAAAGCCATGGGGCAGGGTACTACTTCATAGCACCTAAGCCCCTTCCAGGTCTCCTCTCCTCAGTCCCCAGACGTTCCCATAAATGAAAGATGACACAGCCCGGCATGTGCTGAGAGAAAGCAAAGTCTTTCCCCATCCAGAGATACTTTTCTAGAAGCATCAAGATAAATAATAAGTAAAAGATCATGACAGCAGGGGCACCTGAAAGTTGGGACACATCACTGTCCCAGTCCTGAGCCGCTTAGAGCTGTAGGACCAGGCCCAGGACCACCATCCACAGGCTGAGCAGGCCCGTGGCAGGCTCTCGGGGGGGCCTCCCAGAGCTGGGGAGTTCTCCCTGAGGGCTACGTCAATTTTCAACAAGCCACTTATAAGTTGAGGCCCTGGACTATGCCTGTCCTCCCCAGGGGCAGAAGGCAGTCACAGTAAAGCACATAAAGTTAAGGGGCTGTGTGGGGGAGGGGTAAGACAGGAGGGTGCAGGTCCAGCAGCACAGTCATCCTGGGGTGTGGGGCTGTCCTGTTGAAGATGGAGGCCCCTGGAGAATTCTGAGCAGTTTTTGGCAAAATTCAAGATATGACCAGTGATCCCAGGACTTGGAGGGAAAGACTGAGGGCAGAGAGGGGAGGGGCTGTGGTCCTGGTGGCAGGAGGAAGAGTTGGCCTGACCCAGGATAGTGCTGTGGGACAGGAGAGACGAGGAGAAACAAGATACAAGAGATTTTTAATTTTTTAACTATATTTATTGAACGATAAATATGTTAGGAAACAGAATAAAAGCATACAGTTCAGTGAATAACAAGAGATCCTTAAAAGATTTCAACTCTATGCAGTATAAATTGTTTGTGACCAATATAGGGCATGAGACGACAATAAAACATGTATGATTATCACGATCATGAGTGAAACTGGGATCAGCCTTAGGCAGCACAAGACAGTGGCAGGGAAGCCCAGGATCTGAAGCTCCTGTCTTCCTTTAAGGAGTCACTGGAAGGCTAGAGCTTAGTTAGAGATGGAGAAAGAGAAGGAGACCACAGGGCTGTCTTGGCCACGCAGGAACTTGTGATTATCCTATGCCCAAGAGGAAGCCCTAAAGTTTGCTTTAACAGTGATTGCGCTGGTCACTTGCTAAGGAGGGGTAGACAGAGTAGAGAGAGACAGGACCCACAAGGAGACCAGTTGAAGGGGGTGGGGGGGAGAGGGGAGAGATGGTGTGACAGATCACAAAGGTGTTAGGAGGCAGCTTGGATCTGCGTGGTGAGGGGAGTGTCCAGGGTGCCTCCTGGGACATTGGCTTGGTTGCTAACTAGCTGGCATTGGGGGGGGGCACTCACCTCAGCAGGACTTTGGGAGGGCAAAGGTCTGTCTTGGACATGGTGAATTGGTAGTGCTTTTTAGATATGGGAGTGAGGTTATTAGATGCTTAGATCTGGTACTCAGAGGTGGGGCCTGGCCAGAGGTAGAGAGCAAGTGTTATCTGAGGATGGAGGGTCTGTGGTGCTTGTACTTGCAGTCTCACGCAGGTGAGGTTGCTTGGGTGGGTTGAGGGAAATGAAAGGTGAGTCCTAGGGGCTCGGCATTCCCTGGTGGGGTCAGGGAGCTGAGAAGAGCAGTGGAGGGGGGTAAGAATATGCAGGCATAGGGCCGAGGGTAGGGCCCCTTGTGAGCAAGCCTGTAGCCTTCTCTCTCCCATTGGGCCTCCCTAAAAGAGGGTCAGACACCTGCCATGCAGCTGTGGGGAACGAGTGAGTCTCCATGGGCTATGTGCCCCACCCACAATGCTGCCCCAAAGATCCTTCCACCATCCTCCTAGTATGCCCTCTGCCCCAACTGCCCCCTTAGACTTCAGATACTCGAAGAGGGCCCTGAGGAAATAAGCCATTCGCATGTACACAGCCTTCATAAGTTACCTCACCCACACGCCACAGGGGACAGAGGCCTGTGTGACTGGAAGGGACCCCCTGGTGACCACACCACTTCCTGTTCCTCCATCAGAGAGAGCTGGCAGAGATGAAATACCAGTACAGCATTGACGAGCTGAAGCACCGGGAGAACCTGATACAGACCCGGCAGGAGGAAGAGCAGGCTTGGCAGAATTTGCTGGCGGAACACAAGGTACCAGCCAGGGAGGAACTCTGCTCTCCACCTCTCCCTACCCCAGCTCAGGAACTCTGCTCACAGGCATCAGCCCAGTTCCATGAAAGTCTGCAGGATCCAGGCCCCCTACTTTTCTTTTGCTGTGCATCTACTTCCAGCTCTGATGGCGCATGTTAATCAGCTGCAGGGCCTGTCCCCTTGCTCAGCCACCACCTGCCCCCAAGGCCAGCAGGGACCTGGCCACCTGGTCTCATAGCTATCCCCCGGTGCCCAGCCCACAGGTTTGGGGAGGTTGTGCTGAAATAACCAGAGCCTCCCCTTTTCTTAGAAAACCTAGGCGTTTCCCCATGGCAGACTGGAAACTTCAAGTCTCTTACTCAGTATAGCCCTAGATTCAAGATGGGGCCCCTGTTGCCCTTCCTCCCACAATTCCCACCCACCTCCAGCTCGACTGAGACCCGTACACCTTTCATTTTTGTGCCTCTGGCCCTCCATACGTGCCATTGCCCAGCATATCCTTGCCTGGCATACCCTTGCCCAGCCCTGACTTCCCCAGAGGACTGAAACTCAAGTCCCCTCCTCCAGAAAGTCTCGCCACATTCCTGTGCTAGCCCTGTCCCCAGCCTGGCTTTTTCTGACTGCAGGCCGCGTTTGTCGAACACATGAACGGCTCCTTCCTGTTTGACAGCATGTACACAGAGGACGCAGAGGGCAACAAGCTGGCCTACCTGCCCGGCGTCAGCGACCTCGTGGAGGCATATCCTTCCACTTTCAGAGTCCTCCGCTGGGCCCAGGCCCCCAGCCTGTCTGGGGCAAGTCTCCTGCCCTGGGCCTCAGTTTCCCTGTCTCTCTTGTGAGACCGGCAAGGTAAACCCCCATTTCAGAGCAATGGACCAGAAAAGTCAGCACAGGGCCCGATTGACTGAGGCTGCATGGGAAAATGCTGCGAGACCTCAGGGGACACAGTGAGTGTCTGGTCATGTGGCACGCGGTTGTCAGAAAGGGAAAACTGATTAAAGTGTGTGGTTACGGTGTGACTCCTCATTAGCCATATTTATTTGTTGCCACTGTGCACTCTGTGTACAGTGTGGGTAATTTTCTCAACCGCACCAATGGATAGGTGCTATTATGAACCCCGTTTTATATGCCAAGAAGTTAAACTTGGAGAGGTTGACTTGTCCAAGGTCACACAGTTAAAAACTGTAAGGCTAAGGGCCGGCATCCTTTCCCCTAGCCCATCCGAGCCCAGAGGACAAGATCAGCACCTGACACCATGGCCCGTGTGGAGCTCTCCGTTCGCTTGCACTGTCCGTGGAGGAGCTCAGGTCCACTGAGAGTGCGGAGATGAGGCAGCGAGGCAGAGGGGATCTATGGAGCTAAAGAGAAAGAAACTCACTTGTGGAAATACAATCTTCTGGGTGGAAAAGTTGGGGGGCTTAGATTTTGGAGGGTGGAGGCTGAGCAGAAGGCGAAGAACAGGGTCAGATAGATGGGGCTCCCAGCCAGGCCCTGCCACCCACCAACTAGGCTGCGGGTTTGCCTTTGGCTATAGCACCTGCCTGACCTCAGGGACCATGCAGGGTGGGTTCTGTCATACCCTCAGGCTGCAGAGGAAGAAACCGAGCCCCAGAGAGGTGAAGCAGCTTGCAAGGGAAAAGCAGCGGCAGAGCCAGGGCTGGAACCTGATCTCGCTGCTTCAAGCCCGTGGATCCCCTTTTCTGCAGGCTGTCAACATCCTCCCACATCTGAGCACAAAAGAAGGCCCCTACAAAGGTGCTGTCTAGAAAACCTACCAAAGACAAAACGAATATGGCCAAGCTTCTCAGGCAGCTCTGGCTTCCTTTGGGTTCCTGGCCCTTCCAGTACCCCCAGAAACCACTTGCAGGACCCTGCCTTAGCATGATCCTCCTACAGTCTCCTCCTTGGCCCCGGCTCCTCCCACACACAGGGCCATTTTCTGAATTCCTCACGTGGAGTTGCCCCAACCACCACATTATACTCCAAGCCTCAACCCCAGCTCTGTGTGGGTTACCACCGCTTCTGCCCTGTACCCTCCCAGCCCTCGACACAGCCATGACCTTCCTTAACTGCCACTCACCTACAAGGACAAATTCGTTATCATCTGCATGGACATTTTCGAATATGGACTGAGCCAGCAGGAGAAGCGGAAACTAGAGCTTGACACCTTCAACGAGTGTATCTATGAGGCGATCCAGGAAAACCAGGAGCAGGGCAAACAAATGATCACTAAGTTTGAGGAGAAGCACTTGCTGGTAGGCCCTGCCTCTCCCTGCCTCCTGCTCCAGATCCCCACCTCCCCTGATTCTGACCCCTCTACCTCTCATGACTCCTGAGATTCATGGTCATTGCCCCCTTTGCCAGAGATCACACAGCTAAGTGACAGAGCTGAGGGTCAGCCTTCCACTGGCAATACCAACCACAGCTCCTCCATCACACAAGGGCTGGACCAGGCCTCTGAGTGTCCTTTACCTAAAAAGTCCCTGCAGTTCAAGTCTGCATGATCGTTACCATCAATGATGGTGTCTTACCGCTACTATTATAACAAAGACTACAACTCCTTTCTTTTGCTTATTTGTTAATCTAGCAGACCTTCTGAGCTTCCGCTCTCTGTCTGCCCTGAGAAACCAGAACTATGCTAGACATGATCCCTGCTCTTAGGGAGTCCCCATCTGGTAAAGGACACACACTCAGACCCTTCCCACAAGAGTCATCGTCCTATGCTGGAGGGAAGTCCAGGGAAGCTTGGGGGTATTTGGGGGCACCTTAACTCAGGATGAGGCCTAATTAACAAGAGTTTTAGCTCAGGATGGTGGAAGAACGGCATTCTGCCTGAGGGCAACTAAGGCCCTATGTGTTTGGGGACCTGGCCTACCTGACCCAGGCTCCTTGGTCCAGCCAGCCCAAGCAGGAGCCATGCGTACTTGGTGGGAGTGGCCTCTCGAGTTAGCAGTACTTTTACAGAACAGGTTCTGAGTCACAGATTGTTGTAATATGCTAAAGGAAGCTATGAGCCTCTTTCTTCTCAAAAAACTGTGCTCACACACCGAGTACAGAAACACTTGACTGCAGTTTCTGGGGTTTCAGGGAGCTTATACAGTCACTCCAGGACGAGAACTCTTAGTTAAAGTGAAGCACACATAAGGTAAAATAGAGTAAACAGAAGGGCAGCTATAATGGGATTGAAGTGGGCAACAGAACTCACATTCTGTGCAACAACTCTGGAGACCCTCCTCACTAGGCTTCAGGAGGGGTGTTACCACCTTCAACAGGAAGTTCAAACCTGTCAGCAGAGGAACGCATTTGGCTCACAGATGTGTTTTGTTTGGCCTATGGAGGGTTTGAGATGTTTTAAACATCCGTTGACATTAAAAATGGAAAGATTTCACAGACAGATTGTGGTTGCCAGCTTCTCTGGAGGCAGCTGTCAGCAGGGCCTGAGCAGCGCTTGTCCCCTCCAAACAGGCCACATCTCTGTCCTGCAGTTCCTGTCTGGTGCCATTCCCTGACACTTCTTATCTGGTCCCTGCTGCCACTGGATTTGGGGCACCAGCTGGCTCCTCCTGCAACCGGGCCAGGGTCACCCCCTCAGCACAAGTCCCCTGGAGAAACAGAACAGGGCAGGCCGCACTGTTCTCCTTCTGGCTCCAAGCCTGACTCCAGGCCTGACGCCCTAACATGCTGCTCCTCAGGTTTGGGCTGTTAAGCCTCGGAGCAGGCTGGCTGCTTCTGCTTCTGAGACACTTCCTAGCATGACTGTAACATCAATGGCCTCAAAGATCACCTCAGATGAACTGACTAGCCTGCACACTGCTTGTCCAGAGCCCAGTGCAGTGTCTTTGTTCAGCCCCCACACAGAACTCGCAGGACTCAACAATTTGGGGTCTACCCGGCACTGGAATTTTCCTGCACACCCCAAAGACCCTGATGGATAGGGAGCTCTCTGCCTTGGCAGTTCACAGACTGCACAGGTCTGCAGTCCCCCGTTCCTTCTCCTCATAGGTAATTTCCTGTCCTGTTATTGCAATCCTCTCACCTGCTCTACTAGACCAGGGCTCACACAGAGACCCCCCTGGTGCCCAGGGGGCTCAGCCTGATCCATGGGCTGGCGGAATGCTCACACTGACTCCTCCCCGGTGACCCTCTCCTGGCCTGCATCAGTGAAATGGAGAGAACTGCTTTGTAGAACCGTAGTGGGGACCAGTGAGATGAGCTCAGGGCAAAATACATGAAGTCAGCATGTGCAGTCACAGTCACTCATGGCTAGGTAATGCAAGTAGAAGCACAGACTCAGGAGGAAAAATGTCCACAGTACAGTTGGCTCCATCTTGTACGTGCGTGCGTGTGTACATGATGAAAATATAGCATGCACTGTTCTGCACTTTGCTTTGCCGTTTGTCTATGTAGTTTCTAGTTCCTTCCAAAACTTGAATTGCTTCATTTTTTTTCATAACTGTAAATTGTCTCATTGAATGAATGAGCCATACTTTATTACACCAATCTCTGTTGGGGATGGTTAGATTTTTCCAATGCTCTGCTCTTTCAAGTAGTGTCGCAGTGAATAACCTGGTGCAAGATTGATCTGAAGGGTGAGGTCCTACAAATGGAACTGTGTGTCACTACTTTTAGTTATTGTCCAGCAGCAATCTGCCACAGACACCGTACCTTCTGTAGGCCTGCGTTCTCCCTTCTCAGGCCACCTTTTTCCAGCATTCTCAGCTTTGCCAATCTAGTACATCTGGCTCAGTGTTTATTTTCTTACAAGTGGTGGTGAGCACCACACATTTCTTTTTCTTTTTTAATTTTACAACAGTTTATTTTTACATCATTTTGTACATTTTTTTTCCATCTCAATTGTAATCCTCGCAGGTTTCCCATCACCAAGTCACCCGTGGAGCACCACACATTTTATAAACAGTTATATTTCTTATTCTGGGAACTATTTATTTTCTTATAATTTGCCCTTACCCATTTTCCTGGCTGTTTTTATTTATTTATTTTTTTGTCTCTTGCTTTCTCTCTTTAAAAAAAAAAATCATCATTTTTGTAGGTGCTCTCTAAAGATTGAGAAATTAAGCTCTGTCAGTGAAATGAGCTACAAATATTTGTCCCAGTTTGTTGCTTATCTTATCATTTTGTCTAGGGTGCTTTGGGCATTGGGCATTTAATTTTTTTTTTTTAAGATTTATTTATTTGTGCATACAGAACTGGGGTACAGATCAGAGGCTCAGAGGCGGTGAGAGGCTTCACCAGAGACAGAGTGGGGAACAGAACAGGCAGATCGACGACGAAGTACACTGCTGAGGGGAGCAGCGGGCGGGTCAGGAAAGGTCTGCCACACCATGTGGTCACCTCCAGGGCAGGCGGTAATTGAACTCATGCGGAAGCGGCTTTAGATTCTCAGCGCTGTGCTTTAACCCGCTGCGCCACCAGGGAGGGCCCTAATTTTTTTTTTTTAATGTATTGATAGTAGAATTTATCACTCTTTCCTCCTGTTTATACTTAAAAAGAATTTCTCCATTCTGAGATTGTGTATTTAAAATCCCTCATTTATCCTTCTAGTACTCTTATGGCCTAAATTTTCATGTATAAATCTTAGCTCCACTGGGAACTTGTTGTCACGTAAGGCTTGACAAGGTAGAGATCAAGCCTGATTTTTCTCCGAATGGAATGGCCACAATTCTCTGTTTCTTTCGTCCCACTGAATCATACCATTGTTCTGTCCTTCCTCATAACATAACGAATAACAAATATTAACAGAAACAAGTTGACATCACAGCACTTGGTGGCTGACCCCTCAGGCCCTTTGTTTAGGTGAGAGACTGGTAACCAGTGCCCAGCTCAGACCCCTTGCTTCCCATTCCATGGCCAGCATCTGCTTACCACTGGCCTCCTCAGGCCATAGAGTTTTGTGTGGGTTCAACTAGTTTCCTCAAAGATTGGAACTGCCTTATATCTCAGTGTCTCTCCATGTCTGTGCCTGCTGTAGGCCTTTTATGGGTGCCTCCCTAGTTGAGCCCTCACTGTGAGCCAAGCACCTCCTATTCACTGTTTAATCCCTGGGTCTTTGTGAAGCATAGATTCTCTCCCCCTTACAGCCAGGAAACTAAACCTAGAGAATGAAAGTGGCACAGTCAAGGTCACACTGCAGGTAAGGGACCCAGACAGCATTGAAATTCAGCTTTACCTGACTCTGCAGTTACTTATTGCTCCTTCCACCTGGCCTGGCCACCTCTAATAAAAACCTGAGCTGATGCATATTGAGTGGTTGGTAGTGCTCTGCCTGTTCTAAGAGCCTAGAGGCATAGAGAGGGTAAGTAGTTCGCCTGCACTCACAGAGCTGGCAAGTGGCACGCTGACACTTGAACTTGGATAGGTCGACCCAAGAACGCAAGTTCTTACGCACCAAACCAACTTGCCACCCATCACTAATGAATCACATATAGCTGTGGATTTCTGAGTCACAGGCTTTTGTTTCCAGAGTTTAAGTGCCATTCGGAATGAAACTGATCTGACCGTCATTGAGACAAAGATCACAGAATCCTACGAGGCCATCAACGAACTGTTCGACATGCTCATGACACTGGAGATGCAGTTGGTAGAACAGCTGGAGGTGAGGCCGGGCCCTTGGGCACAGACGTAATGCAACCATGGGCCAGTCAGGCTCATTTGCAAGAAGCTGGTGCAGCTGCAAAACCACATGTGAGCAGGAGCCTTTTCTGCTAGAAATGTCCGGTGCAACTCAGAGTACTGTTTTGTTCATCAGTCCTATGTTGCTTTTAATTAATTCCCATCATTTAAATTGCAAGTAATTCTATGCAAAATGAGAAGTGAGCGCTTTCTTCTAGAATGTTCTCTCCCCCCACCTCTCCTCCGAGATCCCAGAGACACTGCAGGGAGGTTTTTTAATTAGACCCAAGGAGCTGTCTGGGTGCTGGCAAAACAAAGTAGACCCCCAGTCAGGGACAAAACAAAGGCTCCTCCATACAGCTCCAAATCGCTCGGCAATGCAGCCTGTGGTTGCAGCATCTGGAGCATGCAGGAGCCTGCAGTTCAGCGCTAAGCAGTGAATGTGAAGAGCACTGCTATCTAAAATCCCTTAGCAGCCAGAATGACTTGTGTGTTCACAAGGCAGTCAAGGCCAGGAGTCTGAAGTGCTGTGATGAATTGAACCTCATTGGATGCCGCTGTGGCTGGGCCAAGAGATAGCGCCTAATCAATTCTTCACATGTCAAGTGACACCTCAGACATGGAATAGATTTCCCCATCACATCACATAGCAGCTGCTTGCTCCCCGCTGGGGAATACTCAAGCACTGCAGAAAGCAGCCCGCAGAGCACCAGGGGAGGTTAGGCAGCAGCTCCCAACCTTTCCAAGCAGGGAGATCCCCTCTTCAACATCCAGACGTTCCCCCAGAATCCATCCACGCATGGTCGTGTTTGCATTACTGATAGCCAGAAAGCTGTAAATGCAGTTGTCCTTTTCAGTGGCCCTGTTTTTATTCTGACAAGTGTTTATATACTTTTGGAAAATGCATAATTAGCTCACCCACCAACAGTCCTCAGGCATATGTAGGTTCCCCATCAGCTCAGCCCTCCCTGTGGGCGATGTAGGTGCCCGGTAGACCTGGGGCCGTCAGGCCCTGGAGGCTCCCAGGGTAGTGAGCCATACCACTGCATCTTCAGTTGTTCCATCAGTCACATGAAGTCCCCTGGGTGCCTTGCTAAAGCTCGGGACTCAGCAGTGCAGGAGTGCCCTAAGGAAGGAGGCAGAGCCATGCAGACAGCCAAGTGGGTGGTGAAAGGTCTGGGGGAACATCCAACACTACAGAGGGGTCCCTCTCTGCCAAGCTCCTTGCAAAGAATTCTTGTGAAGTAACTCACTTAAGCTTCAGCACAACTCCATGAGGCAGGTACTGCACCGGAAACCCAATTCACAGATGAGGAAGTGGAGGCTCAGTGATGCTCCCAGAGCTCCATGCAGGGGTGGAGCTGCCGTACTGACCTGGATCTTAGTGACTCCCTACCCTGTCCCCCTGGAGATGATGGAAAGATGCCCCTGAGAAGCCCAAAGGAAGAGGACTAGTTCTGTGGGTCTATGGAGACCAGGACAGGCGTTCTTGGCAGAAGGACAGGCACATGCAAAGGCCTGGAGAAAGCACTGCTTTAAATATTCAGTCAGGTGGTGGTGAGTGACTGGAAATATCATGAGAGTAACAGAGTTGTGAGAAAGGGAACATTGGGGGAGCAGATCCCAAACATTTGCCTGGGGAGATTGTTGTGGTTGTGAAGGGCTGTGATTAGAGGAAACACCAGGCCAGGGCTAAGGAGTGCCTTCTGCTCTGACACTAGGCTAGCCGGGTTCTGATCTAAATATATGTGTTAACTGTGTTTTTTATCACTTCTAGGAAGCGATAAACATGTTTGAAAGGAACATCATTGACTTGGTGGGAGCCTTCATTGAGAATGTTCAAAGCCTATATCCTTTCCTGGATGACCTCCATGGGGAGGTGCCACTGAGTTTTGGGTTTATTCTGGGCTAGGCTGGTGCTTGCCTTACTTCCAGGAGAGTGACAGCCAGGAGCCTCCCTTTTTTTTTTTTATTTTTTAAAGATTTATTTATTTATGCATCCAGAACTGGGGTACAGGCCAAAGGTACAGGGGTGGTGAGAGGACTCACCAGAGACAGAGCAGGGAGCAGAACAAGTAGATGAACAAAGTACACTCCTGAAGAACAGCGGGTGAGACAGGAGAGGTCTGCTGCACCATTGGGTCACCTCCAGGGCAGGGGATCAAACTCACACTGAAGTGGCTGTGGTCAGCTTGCAGTGCTGTGCTTTAACCTACTGCACCACCAGGGAGGGCCCAGGAACCTCCATCTTTAACAGAAGACAGATAAAGCTTCACAAACTCAGCTGGGTGCAAATAGGAGGGCCTTCCAGGTGCCCCCCCCCGACACCCCCAGCACTCTAGACATGTAGACAGAGCCTGCGAAAGGCAGCACTTTAGAGTCACACTTTGCTTTCTGCCAGAAGTGCCTTTCTGCCCCATTTGATTTACAAAAAGATCTGTACCAAGATGGCATTAAATTTATTAGAGGATCCTACTTAGTGGGACTGTCTACCTTTGAAATTGTTTTTCACCAAGGGAAAAAGCTCCATCAAAGGACTCAGTCTTGGCTGCTACTTGGGGTGTTTGAAAGATGTTCCATGAGGTCTGAGGGAGTTTCCCAGCCTCGGGACAATGGCAGCTGTTAGATAAAGTCTGGATGTTCATTGGGGTCGCTGTGCAGTCCCATTATTTGCAGAAGTCCCGCCTTCTTCTTGAATGTGTGGTACTCAGGGGATTACCACACCCCAGAATCCCTGCCCCCTGTGTTGCAGTTCCACACATCTGGAATGGAGGGAAATCTTCATGTTGAAGACACTGACATATAATTTATAAAGGGCTTGTCATGTTAAATGTGAGTGTTAGGAGCTGACATTTGGGCATGACAAATGCTTCTACCAACTGAATTCACGTGGGGGGTAAACTATTGTAATCCACTCCAGAGGCAACCTCCTGGTCCTGCCCTTGGGGCCCATTGTCCCACAAAGATATGGGATTATGGAGATAGTAAGAGGCCACAGATACAGGGTAGTAGCTGATGGGCCTTAGAAGGCTCCCTGAGGGAGGGCCCACTAAGTGAGAGTGGGCCTAAGGGTGGGTCAGAGAGACAGGTGGAAAGATAGGAAGGACATTCCAGGCAAGGAGACAGCCTGTGCAAACGTCCTGAGGGTGAGACAGAGAGGTCTGGTTCCAAGAGGAGAGGCCTCTGGGTCACATTAGGGAGGAGGAAGCTCCCAGAGAGTTAGAAGCCCAGGAAGGAGGAGGCCCCTTTATCTGCAGCTTTAAGAGTTTATTCTGGTTGCTGTGGGGAGAAAGGGTTAGACTGGAAGACCAGACAGTCTCCTGTCCAGTCAGAAGGAGGTAGCATGGAGAGAAGCAGATGATGGAGGAACGCTGAGGGAGCGGAACACCAAGTCAGTGATGACCAGTGCAGTCAGAACAGCCCTAGGGCTTGGGGTGGGGGGTGGGGGAAGCAGACAACCTTACAGTGATGATGTACTGGCACCTCATGGTTTGCCCTGCTGCTCGTAAAAGGCTGCTCGTGTCTGGTGGGGAAGGTCTAGGCCCTCTGAGTACTTGCACGGGCCCCAGGAATGGGTTGGGGAGGGCGGGCACCCTCTGCCTCTTTGCTTGACTCATGGCTGCACAATGGCTCAGTGCCGGGACCTGGAGAACCACCATCACGAGAGGCTCCTAGAGATCTCCATCAATACCCTTGAGAAGATACTCAAGGGCGACCTAGACCAGGATCTGCCAGACGACTTGCGAGCAGTGAGTGTGATGGGCAGGGCAGTGGTGTCACAATTGAGTGTGGTGTGTGGGATGGACACCAGAGCCAGCCCAGTGTTGAAAACCCCTCGGTGCTTCAGTTTCCTCACCTTCAAAAGGGAACAGTAGCCTATTGTTGCTTGACAGATGAACTAGGTTGACATCAAGCATCATGGGGCACTTGTGAGGACCCAAGAGGGTTCCATGTTAGTTATGTGGTTTCAACTGACCCACAGGTTGGTTTCCAAAAGCTCATTTCTGTAGGGACTCTGGCATGTTCTAAGAGAGGCCATTACAAGTAGAGGTTAAAGTCAGAGACATCCCTGCAGGTCTTCATCTTTGATGCAGCACCTTCCACCAGTGCAGGCGTGGTGAGTCCTCAAGGGTCAGCAGAGGTAGTCCAGGTGCTGCGCCCCGCCTGCCCCTGAGGAGGCTAATCAGGGCTGCGTTGCTGGCTGTGGGTTATGCCTGGCGTGGGGACCATGGAAGGGCCCAGCCCCAGGCACTCTCTTGCCAGAGCCTGCTTCATTCCTTCTTTATTCACCCCAATCCTGATTTCTCAGCTTCATGCCATCTCGGGGTTACCACTAAATCAAGCCACTGTGGCCCCTGCTGGACCACGGGCCTCCACCTGGCTTTCCTACAGTTGGTTTAGATGCAGCACCAGAGAGACACCTTTGCAAACCCAAACCACAGCACTTTGCGCTCTTGCACAGCACCCTCTAATGGCTTCCCATGACTCAGCGGGAGCTTGTCTCTCGTCCTCCCTCCCCACCTCAGCCGCCTGCTGTGGCCCTAGCCTCGGGGGACTCCCCAGTCTCCCAGGCTTGCTTCTTTCTGTTAATGTTCTGCCTGGCAGGCTGCTCTTCCCTCAGGTCTCGTGTGTCTGGCTTGTCCTTATCATTTAGGTCTCAGCTCAAATGTCAGCTCCTTAGAGAGGCCCTCCCTCATCACCTTCCTGAAAAACCATTGTCTATCACACACCCCATTTCTCATTGTCAGAGCCCTATCACAATTTCAGAGTCTCCTGTTTATACTGATTTGCTTACATGACTATTCACAGTCCACATCGGCTCATGGGGAAGGCAGAGATGGGCAAGGCAGAGATGGGCCTCGTCACCACCTCACAATGACGCACAGCACAGCTGAGGTGCCAGGAGTCATTCGCCAAGCCCCGCTCTGTCACTTGCAGCCTGAGTACTGCAGACACAGAGACCGGCCATCCCTGACTGCCACAGCCGCTGTCCAGACACCAAGCCCTGCTGCGTGGTAGCAGCCTTCCCGCCCTAAACACTTGCCAAATGCTGATGTTGACCAGGCACAGGGAGGTGCCTGAAACCCTGACCTAAGGCTGCCCCCAAGAGCCTACTCTGGAACCCCCCCACCCAAAGACAGAGTCCCCTTAACACAACTCCCAGGATGTGACACCAGCCTGCACTGACCTGTGCTCCTACCCTAATGCCTGGAACACACAGAAGAGGGCCCCAGAGGCTAATGGCAGACAAGCAGGTTAGGAGGGTCATTGTTCCTGCCAGGATGCCTGGTGCCACCTTTCTGCTAGCCCAGTGGTGCTGGGACCCGGAGCCCTGCTGCTTGGGTGGGGGCAGACCACCGTGGGTGCTGACCACGTGGCCTGGCCTCCTAGAGTGTTGCTCATAGAAGGTTCCCACTGCCCAGGCATTGACACTGATGCTCTCACATGATCCCACTGACCTCACCGGAGAATCCACAGGCGCTACTGTCCTCATCCTCAGTTTACAGATGGGAAAACTGGGTAAGACTGAGTTTTAGAGACCTCTGGTAAAATACCCAGGATGACCTGGCTCATGAGGACCTGAACCTGGAGCTGGACGCTAGTCTTGAGATGGCAGAGCGGGACCATTACCTAGAGAGGGTGCTGCGCCCCCGACTGTGCACTACAAGTTGGTGTTCTGGGTTTGCCCAGGAGTGAGGGGAATGTGCCCTCACTCTGGCGGAGGGCTGCCTGCAGAGCCTGTTGGGAAGGTGTGTCTGGGTCCTTTTGGGAATGTCCACAATTGCAGCAAGAGACAGTGCCAGGACTGGACAGTTGCTGCTGCTGCTTATGTTACCTCACTTCAGGAGTGGCAGGCTGGGGGCGGGTGGATTGCAAGAGACACGCTCTGTAAAAAGTACTAATAACAAATAACGGGCGATTCCTCGCGCCCTCCCGAGGCCAACTGTTTGAGAAGCTCTTGGTCTTCACATCAGCGCAGTAAAATAGGTTTACAAATGAGGAAACTGAGGCACAGAGATTCAAGCAACCTGAGCAAAGATGCATAGCGTAAGAACAAGAGAGTCGTGGCTTCAGCACAGGTTGTCTGACTCAAAGCGTTGGACAGCATGTCTGCTCAGCCTGTCACAAGCCAGGGGAGTTCAGGTGGGGGAGTGGGCCCCTTGATGGGGGAATGGGCTGATTTCTGTTACCGGATAATCTCTGAGCATATCGTGATAAAAGTCACAATGCGTTTCTCTATTTCTTTCAAGCTCCTTTTGTTCAGTTGAGTGATTAAAATCAGCCCATGCAAGACTCAGAACCAAACTCACATTTTAAAGCCTTCATGGCTTTGAAAGGAAAAGCAGAATGCACGAGCTCGAAGAGGGAGCATGGGTTCACAGTGAGGGCTCAGGCCTGTGGATGACACTGGCAGCCACAACTGTCCGCAGTGAGTCAGGCTAGTGCTTCTCCCCACCAGGTCAAGGACCAACGCCAGCCTCGGGCTGCAGTGAGCCATGGCCACACACAGGCGGTAGCAGGTCAGACGTGCTCCTTGGGTGCTCTGAACACCCAGGTGGGCACCTGCTGCAAGGACAGGGCTTGTGCTCCAGCCCAGGCCACAGAGAGGACCCTTCAGTCCCCAAATGGAGTGGTGAAGACAGTGGGCAGGGTCCACTGCCGTAACCACTGGTGGCAGGGACAAGATCCCAACTCGGATCTCTGCCCATCAGCTGAGCAGGGACTGGGCTCTCTGTTGACCTGTCAGGGGTGGGGGAGCCACAGAGTCAGTTGTGCCCAGGGAAGGTGTTTGACAGAATAATCTGGTCCCAGGCAGACACGAACCCACAAATCCTCGAGCCACCAGCACTGTGGTGGTCCTGGGCCCTTCTCCACGGCTCTCTCTCCTCCTCCCCCTACAAAAAATCACTTTGGAATTAATGTACCTTTCCAGTTGCCAGAGCCCCTCCGTGAAGTCTGAACCCACAGGACAGAGCGGGCGGCTCCGGGCCTGCATAGCCTGCTCCTGCCTCAGTGCTTTTGATCTCCAGAAACGAGAAGGGAATCTGGAATGTTTTACCCACAAGAACTGTTTGAGAGGACAAGCTGACGTAGCCACCACTCTAAGCCATCTGAAGTCCAGAAACAACTTGCAACTGGCATTTAAAATAATTTCTTTAAGCCAGACTCCTTTCATTTGTATTTTACAAATGTCACACAGATTTTCATAACCAATTCTAGCTTCATCTATTTCTAAGAGCACTTCACTCCCCACAGCTTCTGAAGCTGATTTCTACATATTCGAACTCTGGGGGGACATTTTCTCTGCTTGGCTTAGGAGATTGTGATCCACAATTGTATTAATTTTTGTAGAGGTGACATTGGTGTACAATACTGTATGTGACTTAGGGGTATAGGTTCACACCTCTTCAAATGTGTATTACCACACCACACCCACCACCAAAGCACCCCTCTCCTGTGGCTCCCCATCTTCCCCCCTCTAGTAGCCTCAATTCTGCAGATTTCTAGGTTTTGTTCCTTTGTGACTCTATTTAAATTGAAGAAAGAGGACCTTTTGTAACGGGGTGATGCTACGGCTGTGACTATTTCTTAACTAACTGGCATGACCTCCAGGGCATGCTGCTCGAACCCTCCCAGAGCCTGACCTGGAATCTTCTCCTCAGGGGAAGTGCTCCTGGGCAGGTCCTCCTACCCCATGTCAGCTAGCCTGGCTTTTCCGCTTGGGCTTCTGTCACAAACTAGCATCCCATGACATGTTGACAACCATTACTCTAAGAAAAAGTCATGCCCAAATAAGTTGGAAAACAGAGACAAAGTTCAAAGGCTTTATTTTCCCCAGGACTTCCCAGAGCCTTCTCTGGAAAAGTGCCCTGTGCTTGGTACATGAGGAGGGACCCGGGCTGTGCAGACTCTCCCAAACGCATTTTACCAAAGAATACTTTTTTTTTTTTTTAAACAGAAATACTGGCATCTTAAGCTTCCACTCACATATTTTGAAGGCTATTACATTAAAGGCTACTATAGGAAAGAAAAGGATATAGCCACTCACGGTCCTCTCTATAACAGAGAACATTTGGGTCCTTGGCATGACAAAAGTGCCGCCACAGCCATTCCTGCCCTGGGAAACGGTGCCACTCAGTTTTCATCTGTGCTAAGCCCACAGTCTCAGCACAAACACTTAAAACTGGCCACTAGAGGGTGGCCATTTTTGACATTTTACATGGCAGAAAACAAGGTCAGGAACAGAAAAAGCAGGGGACCCCAGAATAACCCAAGGTTCAATTTGGCTAACAAGAGGGGCAGTGGAGAACAGCACTGGGTGAGCACCATCGGTTTGCAGGTCTCAGAGCCCCTGAGACATGTCTCACGCTTCCCCGGAGGCAGGTTTCAGGCAAGTCAGACTCAAGGGTACCTGAGAGAACTATCACGAGAGCAGGACTGCTCTCATGAGGACCTGAGTGAGTTCCCTCTGGGGCCACAGTCTACCTTCTTTCTGGAGAGAACAGGCTCCCACCTAGGTCCACAAAGTCAACACCCAGCTGGCCCTTTCCTGGGCGGCGTGGTCCCCGGGAGAGGAGCACTCAGGAGTGGGTTGATACAGGCTGATGTAAAGGTGGAGTCTTCGCAGGGTACTGAGCAGCTGGCCCCTCGGCATGGCTTCTAACAGCCAGGTTGCTGGGGGGTCCTTTTCTCACCAGCACTTTGACTTTGTGCTCAGGGAGTGATGACATAAGCTCATCTGATCTTTCTCATCATCAGCTTTTTGTCGACAAAGACACGATTGTGAATGCTGTCGGGGCTTCCCATGACATCCACCTCCTGAAGATTGATAATCGAGAAGATGATTTGGTGACTAGGGTCAACTCTTGGTGCTCACAGCTAGTGGACAATGTGAGTAAATGCCTCCCAGCCTAGCAGGCTGCACCAGCTTCTCGAACTACCAGCCAGAGAAAATGGAAATCTCCCCTAGGAACCATGTACTATTTGCACTAAGAAATGATGAAAGAAGTGAAATTAAGGACTGTAGAATTCCTTACTGAAGATTGAGTGTTGTCTAGTCACTTTAAAACCCACTTTTAAACTGCTTCATCTTTTTCTTTAAAAGGTTGTTATCTGGGCCCTCCCTGGTGGTGCAACAGGTTAGGATGCAGCACTGCAAGCTGGCCACAACCACTTCAGTGTAAGTTAGATCCCCAGCCCCAGACTTACATGGCGCAGCAGGCCTCTCCTGACCCGCCCGCTGCTCCCCTCAGCAGTGTACTTCATCAGACTGCCTGTTCTGCTCCCCAGTCTGTCTCTGGTGAATCCTCTCACCGCCCTTGTACCTCTGGCCTATGCCCCAGTTCTGTATGCATAAATAAATAAATACTAAAAAAAAAAGAAAAGATTGTTATTTATGCATAAAAGAACTGGGGTACAGGCCACAAGGGTGTGTGGGGGGAGGGGTGTGTGTGCGTGTGTGTGAGTATTCACTAGAGACAGAGAGGGGGGCAGAACAGGTAGATTGGCTGAAATACACTGCTGAGGGGAGCAGCGGGGAGACAGGAGAGGTCTGCTGGGCCATGTGGGTCAGCTCCTTGGCTGGGATCGAACTCCTGCTGCAGTGGCTGTGGATAGCTTCATAGTGCTGAGACTTAACCCCTTGTGCCACCAAGGAGGCCCTGCTTCATCTTTTTTCTAATTCCTACTTCAAGTGTGTGGAAAAGCAGAATAAAGTATAAATGAAGGTTAACAAGAGGGGCAGTGGAGAAACAGCACTGTATGAACACCATAGGTTTGCAGGTCTCAGAGCCACTGAGGGACATACCTGTGCAGATTTCAAACAACTAGTGCCCTTTCCCTCAACCAGACTCAGTAAAAGATATTAACCAATTATCTGATGTGCGACATTGGGCCTTGGTTCACAGATTCACAAGGACGAGATCATGAGGAACCGCAAGCGAGTGAAGGAGATCAATCAATACATCGACCATGCGCAGAATGAACTGGACAACCTGGAATGCGGTGATATTATAGATTAGGCTATTAGCTGGGTTGCTCTGGAAAACACAGCACCTGGTTTGGCCAGCAGAGCACACACTTCCCTGCCTCAGAAGAGAATTGTTGGGGACTCATGAGTCCCTAATGCCATTCTTTCCCCACCCCTAGAAAACAACCTCCAAATGTAGAGAAAAATAAAGGACTTATATTAAATATTTCTCCTTAAAAAAGACAAACAAAAAAACAGAATTCACCTCATGTATGAGGAGGAAAAGACCAAGACAGGCAGCTGACCATGCAGTTGGTGAGTCTACTGACAGCAATTCCCTAGGGGCTGCCAGTGGGCACATTCACTGGTATGCTGACCCCATTTCTTCTTATGCTCCCAGGGCAGTAAACAGGGGAGACCACATCCTCTCACTTCTCCTCCGGCTGCTGAGGAGTGAAGCAGGAGAGGCCACAGTTCCCAGCACAGAACCAGGGCCCTGGCTGAGCCCTCAGCCCAAGGCTGAGGTCGCTGCCCGCTGTGGTTCTAAGCTTAGCCAACGGAACCTGGACCCTCCAGAGCTTAAGACACTGGCCGGGCACCACATCACCTCTGCAGTGGGAATGTGACAATATACCCTTTGAGCATAGTCAAGGGATGTGGGAAAACACTTGGAAAGTGCAGAAAAGCCCCAGGTGAAAGGAGGTGGAGCCACTCAGGTGGGCAAGGACAGGGGCTAGAAAGCATCTGCTACCTGAGACTCTCAGACTGAGAGGCAGACCAATCCCAGATGACCCACCACCCTCTTGTGGGGCCCTCTCTTTGCAGGGTGGGGGGAAGGGTGGGGGAGAGGAAAATCAAAGCTGCCCCCAGTGGCCATGCAAGCAGCTGGGAGGAAATACTCTTGGGACTCCCTAGGCTTTTAACCCAGAAACAATGCAGGTTTTTCTAGTGGCAAAAGTAAATAATTCTTTCTAAAAGAGTAGGAACAAACACAAACTATTGGCTTAACCAAAAAGGACTCACTTTCAAAAGATCATTTGACTAAAAACCAGGAGTATAAAAAGCGTGTGTGCTGCTGACTGACTGTCCCCAGTGTGGGGTCCTGGCCATGGGCAGCGGATAGCACAACATGCTGGGGGAGGTGAGTGTTGGGCCCTGCTGTGCCCCAGACATGCTAAAGAAGAATGGCGAAAAGAGGAGGTACAGGAAATGAAAGGCTCAACACATTTCCAGGGTGCGAAAATATTTAATAAAATCAAGACTGAGAAAGTCATCTGACAACTCGTCCTCGCTCACTGCTGGTCGGTTGGACTTGACCTCCGGACAGCTGTGCAGTGCTCGGGGCATCTGGGGTGCTGCTGCGGAGGCACCAAGCCAGGGAGCCCTGTGGGCCAACGAGCCCGTAGCTGGGCAGTCAGTGTCCTGCCAGGCGTGCGCCGCCAGGCCCTCACTCCTGCAGGAGCTTGTGCTTTACCGTGGTGCTCTCAGAGCAGAGGTGGATGAAGAGGGTGCCAGCGGCCGTCCGTGCCCGCAGCTCCTGCAGCTCATAGTCATGCGCCCACTCGATGTTGCCCCACTTTTGGATCTGAGGGGAGACCAGACATTCTTTTGAGTGACTAGTGCCCAACTGCCTGCTCTCCAGGGCCACATCATGTCCCAGTAGCTGCTACACAGCAGCCCATAGGTGGCAGCGCTGGCACCTGTGCTCCGGAGGGCACAGAGGGCTCCCAAACGCCCACCCAGTATGCTATCCTCCTACAAGGGTGCCAGCCTGGGACCGTCTATGTAATGTCCTCCTCCAGGGGCTGCCTCCAGGTGGGCTGCAAGGGCCCCCATGTGGGTGGGATAAGTGATCACCACGGCTCAGGGTAGCCTCAGTTCTGACTCCTGAGGTGCAGAGGCCTCTCTGCTCTGGACGTGGGGCCAAGGTCATAGAGTCTTCCGCTAGGGCTAAGGCCAAGAGAGGGGTCCAAACATAGTGTGGCCGTCCAGATGTCAGTGCTATGCCAACCTGACCCTGCCAACTTCTAGCCTGCTGCCCCAGCCCAGCCAGGAGCTCAATCTGCCATGCCACACAGCTGTTTCTGGGCGATCTGGCCTCAACCTGGATAACTGACGTGTCATGGGAGGAGCACTGCAGTTTCTTGGAGAACTCACATACACGGTCCAGGCCACTCCCATTATATGGGGCCTCAAACCTGAAGTTCACAGGATGATGGCCTGGCTCAGGGCCCACAGCCAAAAGCTAAGGCAAGACCAGAAACCAGGCTTCACAGCTCCCAACCTCCCACAACGCCCCCACGGATCACCCCCTTCCCATTTAATTGTTTCTAACATCCAGAAAAATATCCAGACTCTTTGCTAATACAGAAACAGTTTTTTCCCCCTGGCATTTTCCCAAGCAACTAAATGGACTTGGGAAATACTGACATTACAAAAGGGTTTTCATCATGCTAGGAACCAATTTGTAATAGCAATTAACCTTCTGAGGTTGGAGAAAAAACAACAAAAAGACTGCAAAGACCACCATAATTTTCAGTTTAAAAATGCGAAGGATGGTACAGCAAAACCTCATTAGTTTTTGAGTCCACTAAATCAAACCTTGTGTATAAACAGCAGCTCCCTGTGTGCGCTCTGCCAGCCAGATGAACCACGATGTGAATGTCAGGATGTAAAGGCTCAGCCTTCTAAATGATACCGTGGCTGCCAGTCACTTGAGCAGGCCCATTCTGCATGTCAGCCCAGAAGATCCTCATCAACCCCAAACCTTCACCTGCAGCAGGGGTGAAGGCCTCAGTCCAGTGTTACTTGGACTTGGCTCTATTGCCTGGCTCTAGCACTTCCAGCAATGTGGCCTGTGTCTGAGAAGAAGAGGTGGAGCTATGAGGGAAGAGCTGAACACAGTGCTGGGACACACGGTGGCACTTACTACCGTTACCTTTTTATTACAATTACTTGACAATGCTTTCACTTTTCAATGCCCTAGTTGTTGTTTCTGTACGTACACAAAAGTAATGAAGACCAAGTTTGCATAAGAACATTTCAGATGGGCCAGCCCCCTCCCGTTAGCCTGAGTCAGGGAGGGCTAAGCCGGAGACCTGGGTCCCTGACCTCTGACTGCACAGTACCTGGTACTCCTCCTCCAGGCGTGACAGCAAGACAGCCTGCTCCACTGTCAGGTGCAGGTCAATCAGGCCCAAGGTCAGCACCATGGACTTGAGTTGGGCCACGACAAATTCGATCCCTGCGAAGACATAAGCCAAGTCAGGACCCAGCACACCTCACGGTGAAACAGGGCAGAGGCTGGCCCCACTCCTTTGGGGTTCCTTTAGTCCTAGAAGAGAACAGGAGCAACACTGAGGGACTAGGTGGCGGGGACGGCCACAGGGCCCTCTTACCTGTTGGCACTTTCTGTATCTATTCCCTTTTCTGCTAAAAGATCATTCTGGTATTCCTTGGGGTGACCCTTCTTCTGGCCTTACCAGTACTGCGCCTGAACCTAACCTGAACCTGGCTAATCGACACATGCCATCCTTGGTCCAATGACTGGTTCATGCAAGTGACCCCAGCCAGGCCAATGCAATTTGACCTCAAGACTCCAGAAGACGACAAAACCAGCTTTCTACTGGAAGGGTGTGAGCCGGGTGTCCCTTCTGACCGAGAAGAGGGTTAGTCAGCCTCAATATCACCTCCTAGCGTGCTCCTCTGGTTCTCTGGATTTAGGTCACCCATGCCCACCACACTCGGCCTCCAAGTCCACAGGAAGTGTGATGCATACCCTGTAGGGCCCACGTGTTATAAGATGACAGGTGGCTGATGAGCATCTCTCGAGTCCTGGCTGGGATGCTGGGCCCCATTATGCTGGTGGAGGAGCCAATCTCCACACCATATCTGAAAAAAAAAAAAAAAAAAAAAAGGGCTTTGTTCCTGTCATGCTGTGTAGTCCAGGAGGCAAAGCTCCAAACTGTGTGTGTGCCCTTCCAGGGAATGTGGCCAACGGGCCAGTCTTGGGATTCTGAAGCAACTGCCACTGATCACAGTGGCCTCCTGGACTAGCAGTTTTCTGTCACCTAACAACAAAGTTAAAGGACCAAGAAACTGCCCGGCATGAAAGCCTGGCTGTCAGGTCACACAAGCCCAAGGCTCACTGGCAGCCCTCACTGCCAGGGCTGTCTGAAATTCTAATTCATTTGCCTGGGATCTCCATCAAAATCTTGGGCCACCTACTTTTAAAATCTTTTAAAAAGAGATATGTTCACATTGGAGTCATAAAATACTTCTTCTTTTTTTTAATAACAGTTTATTTTTACATCATTTTGTACATTTTTTTCCCATCTCAATTGTAATCCCTGCGGGTTTCCCATAAAATACTTCTTTTAAACACTGTTTTCCTTACAATATTTGCCTATGTTCTGTATCATTCAATCATACAAAAATACACTTATCTCACACCCACTATGTACAAGGCATTGTTTTCACTGTGGGGCAGGAGTTGGCTTCAAGAATGATACATTTTCAAGAACAATGTTAACTATATAAAAACATAATAGCAATTTATGTTTGTTGGTTTTCATGTATCTCTGATCTTTCCCACCAGTTTAGAAATAATCTTGCTGAAATTTCTAAATTCAAATGGCACATAGAAAATGGCTAAGTTTTTCTGTTCACTATTAAAGATGAGAAATCTCAACTGTCGCAAAAAGCTGACAATTTTGTTCCTAGCAAAGACCTCCAGGCACCTAAATTATTGTTATTTTTCCGGAGACTCCAACATGACATTGTAGCTCTATAGAGTTCACACAGTACTATAGTTACATTTGATCTGTTAGCACTCTGGTTATGGCTTTTTCTTTAAAACTCAAGGATGCCTGATTGACATACATGCCTTTTGTGAAAAATGCTACACCAAAACCACTCCACGCTCCACGTCAGTGATAATACCGTGGCCAAGGTAGCACTAGGAAAGGCAGGCCTTCCAAACTCCCCATATAGTGACACATAATTGAAATTATTTTCCCATATCAATCGTCTGTTCACTTTTGCACAGTCTCCCAGCCAAGGAAAAATATTAGGTAGCATCAGTTCCTAGCAACTGTACATCCCTAGGATAAATATTACCTGTAATTTTGGAGAAAGCTGACCAGACCTTTCTTCGTATGTGTAATATACACACTGTTTTGTGACTTAATTTAATAATATAGAAACTGTGCCAATGATACAGATGGCAACTGCCAAATGTGAGCACCGACTGTGCACAGGCAGGATGCTGAACATCACTTCGTAATGATGTGCAATGCAGGGTGATGAGCCCCACTCACAGACTAGGCTGCTGGAGCTCAGTAAGGTGGCATCACTAGCCCAAGGTCACACACCGCCAATGGTGGCAGAAAGGGGGCTTTGTCCCTACTCAGCACCACATGAACTGACAACAGGTACTCACTGCATGGTGGCTGAAATGCAATTGTGGAATATTTTTTCCAAGGTGGCCCTATCCCTGAACAGCTGGGATGTTCTGAATCCCAAAGGGGCTCTGGACTCAAGAAGTCCACTCGCAAGGGCTCCAGTTGTCCAGTATGGCCCCCTGATCCCAAGAGCCTGCCAATACCAAGGTCTGTACAGCTCACTTTTCTTTCTTTCTTTTTGTAAGATTTATTTATTTATGCATACAGGACTGGGATACAGGCCAGAGGTGCAGGGGCGGTGAAAGGATTCACCAGAGACAGCATGGGGAGCAGAACAGGCAGATGGACGAAATACACTGCTGAGGGGAGCAGTGGGCGGGTCAGGAGAGGTCTGCCACACCATGTGGGTCACCCCCTGGCTGGGGATCGAATTTATGCTGCAGTGGCTGTGGCTAGCTTCATAGTGCTATGCTTTAACCCACTGTGAGCCCCAGCTTACCTTTTCTCAGCCCATTCTATGACTGGGTCCCACTCGTTCTTTTGAAGTTCCACTAATGTCTCTGGCTCTTCCACCCTGTAGCTAATTCATTGCAAAAATCACCTTCATTAATAAAAAAGTACAATTCCTTCATTCAGCAACAGACAGTGGAATAAACACAAAAAGCAACAGCAAAAAAACATCTTCCCCACCCCAGCACCACAAGTCTTTCCTTAAATCAGTGGTTCTCAAACTGTGGCCTTGGGGCCACCCAAGAACACTGTCCAGGAACTTGTTAGAAATGCCAGTTCCCACCCCTAGTTATGGAAATCAGAATCTCTGGGCAGTGGGAGCAGCAATCTGTTATAACAAGCCCCAGAGGATTCTAATGGAGACTTGACTTTGAGGATCAGGATACTAAAAGTCCCTGATTATTTGACAGGTCAAGGCTTGCCACACTATGTTAGTACCATCCTAAACATTAATACTGTACCTAAGGATCCCCGCCCACCTGAACTCAGGTGCTGAACAATTGGCATATCGTTCCAGAAGCTAGGCCGCTGCATCCCTACCTCTCCTCACACCTAAGAGACAGTGTCCTTGTCACAGACCAAGCTGCCTGTTAGCGCCTCATGCATGGATGCCCAATGCCACATGATGCCAGGCTGAACCATTTGTTTTGACCAAAAGACACAAAAATGGAATCAACTGAGAGAACCCAGTGGGCACTTAGAAAGCCACATTCTGGTGTGAAGAGAGGTCATGAACTACACACTCAGCAGCAGAGGAAGTCAGCTCATGACTACCTCATTGTCCAAGTTGATAAGTAAAGACAGGGATACCTATGTGAGACAGTGGTGGTGAGCAGAGGCCCATCAGGGCAAATGAGCCCCTTAGTTCCAGAGCCTGCAAGAGTTGCATATACCAACCACCACTGTGCTCCAGACCAAGGGATAGCTCTGGACTGCACTGGTGCAGCCTGGGAGCCCTCCCTTCTGGAGGTCTCCGAACAGCTAAGTGCTGATGTCAAGGAGACTGCCTTCCCTGCCCTTCGAGACAAAGGAAAGGGTCTGCCTGGTAACTGTCTGGACAAATGAGGCAAAACAGCTCAAGGGATTTGCTCAGTCCAAGGGGAATGACCATCTAAATGTCAATTACCAGATGGTGTCAGTGTCCAGAAACTTCACAGCCGCCCGGATCAGCTGGTCCTTGTTTCTCTGGGTTGGGTTGTCTAAAGATGTGTTACACAATGTGGTCTGAATCAAAAAACAGAACCCCGTCACCACCTGCTGGACTCAGGCAAAAGCACCGATTTCCTGAGAACACTGCAGCCAACCCACAGCTGTAAGGGAGAAGCAGGCAGGATCACCCAGCACCTGGCAATTACAGCCTCAGCAGCGGCATCTCTACTGAGTTTACCACAGTCAGATTTTGTGTGAAACACTAGTAATAGTGTGGGGACATCTAAAAGTAACCCTAAATTAATGTAGTTCCCCAAGGTCTCATGTTCTTCATTACCTGCTTCTGCGATATTTACCCTGTAAGTATGTAGTATTATTATACCCATTTAAGAGATGTGGAAACTGAGATCCAGAAGGCCAAATTCAGAAAGTAAGAACATACGTATTACTGGAAAGCAGACCTGACTGAAAACATTACAAGCTGGCTCCCATGACATCTTAGAATGCAGGGGGACAAATCAGCCAAAGCAGAAGAGGCTATTTTTCCAGACTTGCCTTGTCAACAGCAAGTTGCTTAGGTACTCTATGACTCATCTATAGCCCTGGTCACCCTCATTAGAGTCAAAGGAGCAGACAGATACTGCATCAGGAGTTGCCCGCCTGGGGCTGTATGCCCAGGCTGAGTGCAGTAGTGACCAGCGTGCCAGCACTAGCTCCAGTGTGGACAGTGTTTGCTCTGTGCCAGGGACCATACCAAGGACTTTCTATGCATCATCATAACCTGTGCTGACTACTACTCCATGAGGTGGGTGTTGTTATTACGCATCTTTCAGAGATAGGGAATATGGAGCTGGGAAGGGGTAGTAATTTGCCTAAGGTTAACTTATGGAAGCTAGATTCAGAGTGTAGCCAACCCTTCTCAGACTACCCTAGTCCTCAATCAGTGTGGCTGAGGGTGCTGACACGACAGGCAGACATTCTCACCCCAAAGACCTGCCTCTAGGGGCCTTGCACTCAACCAAGTAAACCTCTTTAACAGGGCTAGGTGCTGATGACCAAGAGAGACATGGCCTACCTTTGCAAGGCACTACCTTACAAGGTAGTGGAGGAGATAGACAATAAGTGTACAACAGTAAGACAGACAATTACAATTTGTATGAATGCTCAAGAGACAAAGGAAAGCTGCCAGATAGAAAATAAGAGAGCTGGGCAACCAGGGAAGGTGACACCTATCCTGAGGCCAGATGACAAACCAGCCATCAGCAAGGTGTTCCAAGCAGGGAAACTGCAGGTAGCCAGGTAATGAAGGGGAGCATTTGCCATGTTCATTCAAGGAGGCCAGAACCCACCCCAAGGGCCTTACTGGAATTTGGAAGGGAATCTCAATTTTTGACAGGTGTGCTAGGAAGCCAATGGCAGGCGATAGGGTATAGGCATGTGAACTTGTTACCAGATGCATGGTGTAGAACTTGATAGTGTCCTGCTGGGAGTCCCATTCAGTGGCCACTGCAATGGCCAGGGCCTCGCTGGGGACGGTAAAGAGCTTGGCTTGGGGAGTTTTCAGCTTCCTGTGGTCCAGGTTTATCTCAAAGCCACCTTGAAAGATCAAATGAAAACTTCTCAGGGATTGTTAAGTGGAATCGAGTGACCATTCCTATATTTAGCTACTTGAATGGGTACAAAGACAACTCTGAGTCCCTTCACGGAGGGCTTTCAGAAACATCTCCGACAAAAGCGCAAAGGGTTATCTCACCACTGAACTGGCTGGAGATGAAAAATGTTTCTACCCATTCACAGGGAAAAAAAGAAAAAGAAAAAGGAGTCAAAATTTCAGATACTCACCTTCACCTTGTGTGATGCTGACATTCTGATAAAACCTCTTCCTTTCTGTGAGAAAGATTTTTCAAAAAGGCAGTTTAAAATAATGTCAAGACAGCTCAGGAAGAGACAAGACCAGCTTGTATCATTACTGCTAACGCTGATTGATTGGCTTGATTTTCATATCACCATTCAAGGTCTGCCCTAATCTACACGGCACAATCAACGGCTTCTGATTAAAGCCGGGAGGAGGAGGCCACTCGCTCTTCAAGGACAAGGAAGGAACAGGACATGCTGGTCATGTCCCCACCAGTCTCAAGCCCAGGGGTAGTCTAATCAGGCAACGTCAAGACGCTGCAGGTTGTCTGAGCCAGTACCTTCCCGCCTTAACTTCTGAGGCTCCTCCCTTCATGGTGCCCCACCATCACACTGCCACTCGCCAGCACAATGTGCGCAAATCTGGAGGTGTCTGAACGCACTACAGCCAGAGCCCCTCTTGGGCCAGCCTGTGACTCTCTAAGAAGGCATGAGTAGAAAGCCAGTGTGAACATGCATGTGTGTGGTGCGCAGTCAGTAAGTAGCGATCCCAGGAGCATTTCCCATCCCCTCTATCCAATTAATTAGCCTAATTAACTAGCTTGCTTGTGCATTCAACAGGAACTCCAAACATTTCCTTTAAGGAGGGAAATCTGTGTCCTATGTTTTCTTTTGAAAATAACTTGAATAAAATCGTAAATGAAAATGTAGATATATCTCTCATTTTTTCTTCTGAAGGGATTTAAAAACAAGGGAGGTTCATAGGGATTATGCAAATTCCTTCAACTAATAGAGAACAAATAGGTCAGATTTTGGAAGCTATAAACCATAACCCACTCCACCTATGATAAAAAACAGAGCTTTCATTCACTCACTCATTCTTTCATAGATCATTAGGTACTAAAAGTCTTCAGCATCTCTGACGGAAGTTACTCACTGAAATGATGCAGCATGTGGAGGAACAATAAATTCACTAGTTTTTAGTGCTTTTTAATGATTCTTTTAATGCTTAAAAAAAAAACAAGTTAAAATTTTATAATTCAGACTATGAAAATTAGGAGATCGTGGTATGTGTACATTGGATAGGAGGGGGTGGAGAGACGGTATTAGGCCAAACATTGTATGTTAATATCTTCTATACGGGGCAGCAGCCCTCTGCCCACCTGTGCCTATGCAAGTGCTTCTTTCCTTGCACGCTCTCTCTCTGCAGGGCAGCAGCCACCTGCCTGCCTGTGACCTGTACCATGCTGGGACTTCTCTGCACTGACCTCCCTCAGCGGAGGCCGCTCTCCTAAGGCCGCCTGCCTGTAACCATCAGGCCTCTCTGCAAACCTTTCCCTTTCAGGGCATCTCTCCTTGCCCGCTTGTGCCTATGCATGTGTTCAATACTCCTGTCCTTTTCCCTAATAAACCTGCTCTTTAAATAAAAAAAAAGTATCTTCCACATGATGGTTATTCCACAAATCTCACTTGTTACCATTAATGTCACATATGAGGGTCCCAAATTGCATTTCCACAGCTGTAATTAACTAAGATCCAGACTCTTCCCACAGAAAATATTTGCATGTCTACTCTGTGCCAGGTACTGTTCTAAGTACCTGGTATAAAATAGTGAATAAAAGAGGACAAAAATTCCTATCTTCAAAGTTCAAATATATATTTTTTAAAGTGACCAAATCTGGCCACCATTATGTTATCATATAATGGCACAACTTACCATCCCTGTCTAAAATCATATTATTGGTTCTTTCATACATTTGACACCAAAACAAGAGGTTCATCTCATTCTTGAACTTCAACATTTTTTTTTTTCCTACCCACATGTCATTCCCATCACATTTAGATGCTGTGTGAGAAGGGTTTGGAAGCATCAGACACCATCCTGCATGTTATCTCATGTGATTGGGCAGCATATGCAATGCCAGGTCAGGCAGGAAATGGGAAGAAATCGGAAGCTCTGACTCACCACTGTGGAAGGTTCTGACCAGGAGCAAGAAGTGCCAGCAGAGAACATCCTAGCATGCTTCCACACACAGCCTCAGGAAAATGCACCCAAGAATCCTGGAGGAAGGCACTTGAGATAGAAACTGACAGCACAGGGCTGGACCTTCCAGGGGTGGCAGAAATGTAGGGCTTCCCACAAAGGTTTTTCTCCCCTCTGCTTTGCTGATCAGGTCTTGACCCCTATGTTCTGGTCAGGCCTAATTCTGCATTAATTAAGAAAAACTAGGAGTAGGAGAGATAGAGAGGCAAGAAAATGGAAACCAAAAATCTCTCAATAGGTGAAAATCTGCAGATAAAGAGCCAGCAAAAGGAGTAGAAAAGCAGGGCCAAGTAGGGGCAGTGTAGATTCTCTCCTGAAAGGGCACATGAGTGGAGATGCAAGCTTCAGTCTGGGAAGTTTGGAAACAAACTTTGGTGAGTACTAATCCCATTTCAGGAGCAGTCATTAGGTTACAAAACTCACCCCTGCCCTTAAGGTTCTTACTGTTCCCTGTGCCAGACAGACACTAAACCAGACAAGTAATAGAGAGTGTGATGGTCAAGTACAAGAAACACTGGACACACATCTCAAGGAAGTTCAGTTTCATCAGAGGCTAAAGGAAGAACTCCAAGTAGTTTGTTTCTACCTGAGACTTCAAGAGGCAGGCGTTAGTCCACCTGAATTGGATTCATTTTTGGAAGTTTCCAGAAGAAACTGCTTACAAAAAGGTCATGGGCCTCAAGAAAGTAGAGTTTTGGAGAACTAGAAAGACAGCCAGAGGAACAAGATCACAAGCATATAGCAGAGAATGGCTAGAGATGTCCAGTGACATCTGTGGAGGCCAGATCTGGTGAAGGGGGTCAAGCAGTTCATAATAAGGAGATCATAGATAACCAAGGAAGGGGTTCACATAAGCAAACAATCTGGAGATTTATTTGGTGGGATCCATGTTTCTCAACAATGTCAAATGGTGGAGGTTCTTTACCTGGGCTGTTAAATTTTAAAACCACTGAGAGCCTGTGAAGTTTCCATGTTCTTAGTGAATATAGGGCGAGCTGATAGCAAAGAAACACCATCTTTAAAGACAAAAGACACAGTCTAACCTTGTAAGCTCAGGGTCTATTTTGACTATGAGTCATTTCCTTTGCAGAACATATTTCTGTGGCAAAAACAAATTCACTGCCTTTTAAGGGACAATTCTAGTGATGAATTTGGTCAAGCCTTTTCTGGTGTACTTATCGGGAGATTTGTCCATTTTCTTTGGAAAAATGTCTAGTCGAGTACCTTAGTCTGTGGACTATGTGGATACAGAAACGAAAATGTAAGTACTTGCTTTGGCAGCACATACACTAAAATTGAAAGGATACAGATAAAATTAGCTTGGCCCCTGTGCAAGGATGGTACACTAATTTGTAATGCATTCTATGTTTAACGAAAAAAAAAGTGTTAAATTTTAAAAGCCAATCACTAGAAAACAGGCTACCTAAGCAAAAACCTGCTCGTGTGAATACAAAATTGGAAATTAATGTCCATTGGGTATCTTTTCCCTGGGAGGGTGCTTCCATCCATATAAAGAAACCGGCTGTTTTCTGTGTCATTTCCCCCCATATTCCTGCTTCTGTTTCAGATGTGAAGAATCCTGAATGTTCTTTCTACCAGCTTCAATTTCCGGGCTGGTCACAGCTTTGAAAGATTCAAAGCTCCTGAACTACAACTCCCACAGTGCATTAAACAGAGGAAGTAGCTTCTCAGAGCAGTCCCAGCACCTTTATCTTTTTAAACAGTGCCATCTGGTGGACCTTAAACTTTAAAGCTGAAGTTCTAGCTCAGGGCATCCTTCCTATTCCTCTGTATCCAAGTTCTTCAGGTCATGTATATAAATAACTCTTATAACACAATAATTAAAAGATGAATAACCAAATTTTTAAAAGGTCAAAGAACTCAATTCAGCATTTCTCCAAAGAAAATGGACAAATAAGCACACCAAAAAAGGCTTGACGAAATTCATCACTAGAGAAATGCCAATAAAAACCAGGAAACAACACTTCTTATCCATTAGGAAGAAATTAATCAAAAAGAAAATAGTAACAAGTACTAGTAGGGATATGGAGGAATTGGAACACTGCTGGTGGAAAAGTAAAACTTCAGCCACTTTGGAAAGAAGTTTAGCAGAGCTTCAAAAATTAAAAAGTTACCATGTGAACTATTAATTCTACTCTTAGATATATGAAAAAATGAAAAACAGACCCACAAAAAATTGTACACAAATGTTTATAGCAGCATTACTCAGAATAGCCAAAAGATGCCAACAACCCAAATAGTTATCAATAGATATATAAACAGTATGTAGTATATCTATACAACGGAATATTACTTAGCAATAATAAATGAAATACTGGCACATACTGCAAATTGGATAAACTTTGAAAATATACTAGGTAAAGAAAGTCAGTAAAAAAAAATACTATATTCTATTTATATAAAAGGTCCAAACAGGAAAAGCTACAGAGACAGAAAGTAAAGCAGTGTTGTAGAAGGCTAGAGAGTCAGGGGTAAGGGAGAAAGACAGCTAAAGGGTACCAGGTTTCCTGTGGGTAATAAACATGTTCGGTAATTGATTTTGGTGAGGGTGCACAATTCTGAATATAATAAAAAACATTGAATTGTACATGTTAAATGAGTGAGTTTTAAATGGATTTTATCTCAATAAAAAATTCTTCAGGCTAAAAGCATCTGCTATAACAACTAAAGTAAATGGACTAGATAATTACACACTTTTTCCCAGGTTGCTCTAGCACTGAGCAGGGACTAGAACATTTTTTTCTGTAGTCTTACAGTAAATTACTTCAGGTCATCTAACCTCTGTTGCAACTAGATAATTCTGCTACTATAGTGAAAGAGTTCCAGAAAATATGTAAATGATTGTGGCTGAGTGCCAATGAAACTTTATTTTCAAAAACAGGTCGCAGGATAGATGCCTTATTTATACAATCCCCCCCAATCCAGCACAATCACTCTATGAGAAAGACAGAGCAGGTAATACCTCTAAGGTGGCAGACTCTTGAGAGGCAAAATGACTTATCAAGTTGACAATTTGCAAACAAAGAGACAAGACCTGCAGCGTGGACTTCACAAGGCATTTGCAGACATGCAGTATACCTCCTCCCCAAGCAGATGAGAAGTGAACCATAGGTCTCCTTGTGGTATCTAATCCCAGATTACTCAAATAGATGAGAAGTGAACCACAGGTCTCCTTGTGGTATCTAATCCCAGATTACTCCTTCCTGACATCATTTCTTTCTGATAACCTTCAATAGCCAACTATTCCTAAGAATCTGCGTTTGCCGATCAAAATCTTCATCAAGGTCCCACTTGGGTTTAATCTTTTAGCATTCCAAAGACCTACAGAATCTCACAACTAGCAGTCATAAACGGAGGTCATATGTCTCCCTCCCACTGAACCTCATTCTTTCATTCATTTGTTCATTCATTCATATTTTTTTTACATTTGACTATGCCAGTGCCAGATATTTCCAAGAGCCTCTACTCCTACTCATCTGTCTAGACTGTTTAAATATCCTTTCACTCAAGATCCTTTCTAGGCTCCAAATACCCACAAGATGCTAGTGAATGTTTTCAGTTTCTTTGTACTTCTTTTATCACTCTTACCACAGGATATTATAAACTACCATTTATAGGACTTTATAACCTTGTGCACTTGACAGTGAACATCATCCAGGTAAGGACCATGTGTGTTATAAAGACAACAGAACCCCTGCCCTCCGCACAGAAAAATTAAATGAGTGAAAGAAGAGTATTATAGTTCTTTACTCATTTAAGTGAGTGACTCCCACTTGAACCCTCAAACCTCTTCCAAAAGCCATGAGGCTTTATTTTCTAGGCTTCAGCAGAATTAGAAATGAAGGAAGGAGAGACAAGGTATCAACTCTTAGCCAGAGATGGTAGGGGTTATGGTAGGGCAGTAGGAGGCTGAGTCAGGAACCCGCGGGCCAAGAGATCAAGATGGAAGACTCAGAGCCTAGGTTCTAGGCCCCTTCTGCGTCAGGTCCTGGGGACACAGAAAGCAGTCGGAGAGACTTTGCCTTCCGCAAACTTCTCATTGTCGGCCCTGTGACCTTGACGTAGTCCTGACCCAGGGCCCGACATTCCTTATCTGAGAATAAGCATGACATCTGCTTTCCTTCTTAAGGGGAGGAAAGCTATTAAGTTTGAGAAAAGCCGCACGTGTCAAATGTCAACTACGGTCTCGGGTGGTCCCTGATTTGTCTGGGTTTCTTGCCGGATCTGTAACTGATCTGATTGACGTGCATAAACCTCAGGCGCCTCAGGACCTGAGTCTTCCCTCGATCACCGCGCCCTGCACAACTGAACCCCTCAGCCCACCTTACCCGGCTGGGCCCCTAGTCAAAAGATGACGTGCCTGGCCTCCCTCACCTGTCGGGGGCGCGTAGGCCCGGGTCGGGGGTTGGGGGTTTGGCCTCTGCCCCACCAAGGCGGTAGGGCCAACCGGGGACCGGTTCAGGAGGAGGCGCCCCCGGTCCCGCAGCCGGAGACAGTTTCTCCACATAGTACCCGATGGCCTAGGAGGTCGACCGACTCGAAATCTAAGAACAGGAAACAGCGAAGGGATCACCAAGTCGCACGGTCGGGAAACCTCTCACAGTCTCCCCAGAGCCCTCAGCCTCCCCTGAAAGCCGCCATCTTCCACATGACACCAACGGCGCGCCGTCGCTCCCGCGCGCCTCCTGCGCACACCCCCAATCAATCAGCATCATAAACGCACCTCGCCCCGCCCACTCAACAGCGGGTCTCAGGAAGACTACAAATCCCAGAGGGCTGCTCGCTCACTCCGCCACGTGTTTTCTCCTCCCGCCAATGGGTGGAAGCGCCGCGTGAGCCTGCTCCCGCCCCCTCCACACTCCCGGGCCAATCGGAAAGGGTGGTGTGTGTGCGAGGGCAAGTGGGGAGGGGGACTCAGCACAAGACGGGGAGGCCCTGCTCTCAGGTCCCCGGGTCCCGGTGGCGGCCCGAGCGCTAGGTCCGCAAGCAGCGGGCGGGTGGTCCCCCCACCTCCCGCCCCCCACCTCGCGCGTGCGCGCCACGGCCCCTCCCTCCCTGCCACCCTCCTCGGCTCCCGCGCGGCCGCGGCGGTTCCTCTCCCCCTCCCCCCAGCCCTGGCTCCGGGGGACCCCGCGATGCCGGTACGCACCGAGTGTCCCCCTCCGGCCGGTGCCTCGGCGGCCTCGGCGGCCTCTCTTATCCCGCCGCCGCCCATCAACACCCAGCAGCCCGGCGTGGCCACCAGCCTGCTCTACAGCGGCTCCAAGTTCCGCGGCCACCAGAAGAGCAAGGGGAACTCGTACGACGTAGAGGTGGTGCTGCAGGTGAGCGCCGGCCGGGTCGGGCCGGGGCCCGAGGGCCTCCTCGCGGCGCTCACGGGCCGTGCCCGCCCCCGGCTCCTCGAGCCCACTGCCGCGGACCAGGCCCTCGCCGCCGGGCCTCCTGCTCCCAGCGCTTCACCCCCGGGACCTCCCCAGCTGGTGTCTCACACTCTCCGAACCCCGATCCTGACCGGCCCCATCACACCCGGAGCTTGTCGCGAGCAGCCCCGGTAGATCCTAAACATTCCTCTACTTGAAGCCCATGACCCAGAACCCCCATTGACTGGCCCTTCTCAGACCTGGGTCCCTTCTCCCCATGAACTGTCACCCCTAGATCGGCCTACCTTCCCAGTCCCTCGCAGACCGTTTTGAACTCTCCATTGATTTCACCAGACTTTCCTGTAGAGGAGCCTATGTCAGATACTCCCAGACCTGAGATATTCCTCCTCCCCACCTTTCCCAGGAACCTTGGATCCTGGGACCCTCCTCCTAGGGTTTCCTCCTTGGAAGAACTTAATCATTTTCAGAACTGGGAGCACCTTCTTTCCCTCATCCCCTGAACCTGACAGCCCCCAACCCATAACTGATTCCTGGCCCTGCCCTAACTCCACTCCAGACAAGGTACTCTCACCCCCAGAGCTGCTGGGTGGGGCGCCTCAGTCTGTTAGGATCTTGCCCCTCTAGGAAGCCCCATTCTTCTGGTCTCTTCCTGACCCAGGCACCCAACTCCCACACCCCCTGGCCTGGTGCCCCAGACTTCATATACTCCCTGCCCCCTTCTCTGGCCACTTCTAGTCTGCTCCCTGTCTCCCTGGCCTCTTTACATAGACATCCCCACCCCACTTATCTTACCCCTTCCTGACTCCAGGGGACACTCTTTACATTTTGCTAACTTTTACCTTACTGCCAGAGCTTCCTCCCAGTCTCCAGTACCCATGTACTGAGAAATCTAATGCACACAGCCTTATTTCTCACACTTGTATTTCCTCCCCGTGGCCATCCACTCCCATTTGACCTGAATTTCAGAGTACCTGCTTGGCTTTGGAACTAAAGCAATAGCTTTGGAACCACATCTTTACCTGCCCTGGCCCTCTCCTTTACCTCAACCCTCTCTTGCAAAGGGTATTACACTCCCCCCCCCCCCCCCCAATCCCAGATTACTCCTTCCTGACATCATTTCTTTCTGATAACCTTCAATAGCCAACTATTCCTAAGAATCTGCGTTTGCTGATCAAAATCTTCATCAAGGTCCACTTGGGTT